GACACGGTCTCACGATGTCCTCCCATGGTGGTCGGGGTGAGGTTCCCGGGCGCTGATCCCATTTGTGGGGCTCCGCCTTCACCGCCTCATCAGCTCCTGAAGACCCCACCGATTCAACACTTGCATTTGGGGGTGGGGGACATGCCCTTAATAAGACATCAACAATAAGATGCCCCACATTTGCCCTGGCTGGTGTGGCTCAGGGGATTGAGCAACGGCCTGCAAACCAAAGGGTCGCTGGTTTGGGTTGCAGGCCAGGTCCCCTGTAGAGGGTGCACGAGAGGCAACCACACATGGATGTTTCTCTCCCTCTCTTTCTCCCTCCCTTCCCTTCTTTCTAAAAATTAATAAAGAAAAATCTTTTTAACAAAAGATGCCCTACATTTGGACATACCCTTCTCTTCCATCATCACTTGCCAGGGGAAGTTAAAGTACAAAAATTAAATTGCATTCCAAGGTTGAAGGCCAAAGGCGTTCAAGTCCAAAGGCAGGAGAGTGTGCAACCACGGAGAGAAAGGAAGGGAGGAATAGAGAGTCCGACAGTAGCGGCTGTGGACGTCAGCCCCGGCTTTGAATAACGGGCAGGCCCTCTAGACAGAGACCCACAGGAGGGAGACGGTCCAAACCTGACTCTGAACCGGCGCCGCCGGCACCGCCGGAGACCGTTCCCAGCAGGTGCTCACGGGCCTCCCTGGGGCAGCCCAGGTGTAAGCCCATGGAACAAACCTCAGCACGTGAAAAAGGACAGAAATCATTCAAAGCGTGTTCTCTGACCACACAGAATAAGCCCCCCCCCCGCCCCGCCGCCTGCAGATGTGCTCACGTCCTCACGCCCGGACCTGTGAACTGGTCGCCTTTCCTGGCAGAGGGACCTGGCAGGCGTGAGTGCACGGAGGCTCCTGGGATGGGGCAGGTGCCCGGGGTCACCTGGGCGGGCCCAGTGTCACCACAGCGTCCTTGTAAGCGGAGGCGGGAGGGTTGGAGTCAGGGGAAGGGCGTGAGGCTGTGGCGGGAAGGGGCCACGCACCACGGAGCGCTGGAAGCCGCTGGAAGCCGGGAGTGGATCCTCCTCAGAACCTTCGAGAGAGACACAGCCTTGCAGACACCCCACTTTTAGCGTAGGGAGACCTCTGAGTTCCGCAGGGTAAGATGGCGGGTTTGTGTTGTTTAAGCCACTGAGTTTGTAGTTATTTGTTACAGGAGTGAGAGGAAACTAAGATAGAGGAATGATTGATAGAGGATTGGTAGATAATAAAGAGGTAGATGATAGACAGATGGTAGATAGACAGACTTGCAGGTGACAGATTATGGATGGATAGAGAGCTGACGGATGATAAACAGATACCTTGTAGATAGGAGATAAATAGATGGAGATGATGCGATAGGAGAGGGGGGTATAAAGCAGAGTATCAGTTCCTCTGATCCTTTCCTTGTGTTGGTATTGTTTTGATTTTTCTTAATATTAACATGCATCGCTTTTCTAAATATTAAACTTACTGTAAAAATGTAACTGCCCCGGCCAGTGTGGCTCAGTTCATTGGAGCGTCGCCCCGTGGACCAAAAGCTTGCAGGTTTGATCCTCCCTCAGAGCACATGTGGGAGGTGTATTTCTCTCTCTCTCTCTCTTTTAAAAGATTTTATTTATTGACTTTTAGAGAGAGGGGAAGGGAGGGAGAAAGAGAGAGAGAGAAACTTCAGTGGGAGAGAAACAGTAATCGGTTGCCTCTCCCACACCCCCAGCGGGCGACCTGGCCCCCAACCCAGGCCTGTGCGCTGACTGGGAATCAACGGGAGACCCTGTGGTTCCTGGGCCGGCGCTCAGTCCAGGGAGCCGCCCCAGCCAGGGCCCTTCCTCTCTCCTTTTCAAAGTTTTATTCATTTGCCTTTAGAGAGAGGGGAAGGGAAGGGGAAACAGAGGTCGAGAAACACCGATTGGTTGGCTCTCACACGTGCCCCAACCGGGGACCCGGCCCGCAACCCCGGCGCGTGCCCTGACCAGAGATCGAACGGGCGACCTTTCACTTTGCCCAATGACGTCTAACCAATTGAGCCACACCAGTCAGGGCTCGTCCGTCTTGTCTCTTAAAAAGCAATGGAGAAAGAAAAATATCCTTGGGTAACAGACATATAAAATTTGGTCTGTCCAGAAAGTATCCATCCATGTACTATGAAAAAGAGAGGCCTCTATAGGAGAAGGTGCAAGATACAAGAAATATTGTACATAGGACAATGACACCTCAGTCCCCTTCAAAGTTGGCGCCCTGGGATCTCACACAGTTCTCCTAATTGCCAATCAGCAGCCCCGTTGTATTTCCTGAATCTCATCAATGGTCTGAAATCTCTTCCCCTTCAAAGGTGATTCTAGTTTTGGGAAAACCAGGAGTCTCAGGCACCAAATCTGGGCTGTAGGGGGGCTGAGTCATGTGGGTGATTTGACGTTTTGCCCAAAAACTCTGCACGAGACGTGATGCATGAGCAGGCGTGTTGTTGTGATGAAGCTGCCGGTCACCAGGTGCCCACGGCTGCGGCCTCTGAGTCCTCCAAATAGTTTCCACAGGGGAATGTCCAAGCTTGAGGCAAAATTGGATGCAGATTCATTGCTCTACTCAGTCAGTCATTTTAAATGTGACGGCCACACAGCACACGTGCTCACTCAAGCGTGTCTACCGCCCCCACGGACCAGTACAGTGAAGTCGGCATTGTTCACAGATGCGCATTCCAGTCCCCTCTCCTTGGCTGCCAGGTGACATCGATGTCGTGCGAACTGTTCTCATTATATGAACAGTGGCTGGACTTTTTCTGGGTAAACCTCATAGTATATATGTCCTCCCATGATTGTCAGATGTTTGAACTGTGAGGTGACGGAGACAAGGAAGTGCGGCAGAGAAAGGAAAAGGAATAAATGGCTCTCCTGGTGGAAGGAGCTCTTTCTTTTCTCTCCTGTGCATGGCAGGGGAACTTCTGAAACAATTCCTGACTTTCAGCTAGAATCTTCAGACTCATTGAAAAGGTCTCACAAGCTTCCAAAAACAATAACTTAAGAATATAATATATTGCTTATTTTGCATTACATTCACTTGGAACAAAGGAATAGGAAGAACGGATGGAGCGTTCACGACAGAAAACTGGCCATTGACGCTGTGTGCTGCGTCATGGGGGCCGATTACACTCTTCTTCCTGAATTAAGAGGCTGGAAATGTTCTGTTACAACAGTGCTTTAAAAATCCTTGAAAATCTCTCGGTAGGAATCCCGCTAGAGACAAACCAACGCTTTCCGGATAAGCCTGCTGTCCCTCCGCATCAGGGCAGGTTGTTAATTTCTCAGTGGGGTGAGTACCGGGGGAAGCGGCCTTTGGTGAAGGCACGTAATTAGCCCAGGGACACTCGCCCCACAGCGCAGGGGACCTTAGACCAAAGGCGGGGGCAGCGGTGCGGGGATTTTCAGAGGCCCAGTAAATAGCCCCCTCTTCCCTGCCCACGTTCCTGCCAGTTAGAAAATTTGAGTAACACCCAGCAGATGGAGACAACACACCTCAGTTTCCAACAGAGCTGACGCTGGAGAGCTGGCCTTGGCGGCCACGCCAGCCCAGCCTCCCCGCGCCGCACTCCCCGACCGGCCCTTCGAAGAATTGGTTTGTGGCAAAATCTGAGACCTCAACGCCGAATCAGTGACTGAGAGTACATCATGGATAGTGCCATACTTCTTTTATTTTTTAGATTTTATTTATTTTTAGAGAGAGGGGAAGGGAGGGAGAAAGAGAGGGAGAGAACCGTCCATGTGTGGTTGCCTCTCGTGGGCCCCCAACGGGGAACCTGGCCCACAACCCAGGCCTGTGCCCTGACTGGGAATCGAACTGGCAACCCTTTGGTTCTCAGGCTGGCGCTCAATCCACGGCGTCGCATCAGCCAGGGCAGATATTACCACTATTTTAATCTTTGCCCATGGGACACGTTTAAAAAAGCATGATATTTCACACAATCTGTAAGATTTCAAAATTGGTGAAATCTGGGTGTTTTTGACAAGTCAAGGATTTCTTGACATGTCAGATTAAATGGATATAGTAATCGGGAGACAGCACACTAATGCAGTGGATTTCAAAGTTTTTTTGATCTTGATTTATAATAAAAAGTACACTCTATCTTGCGACCTAATTCACATATATACAGTGTGTATGTGTGTGTAGCAGGATTTTTTCTGAAATTGAAACCCATTAGCAGGTTGTGAAATATACTTAGAGATTTGCAAGTAGCATTAAGAAAAGCACAGTAATGTACCCCACACTGTAATGATATTTTAAAAAATTTGGTTTCATTCGTGTGTACGTGACATACATTTTTATCTGACATTTTTGTGCATGTATGTGATATCTTTGTGCATGATATATTTATGTATATGTAGGTGTCCATGATATATTGATAATGCATGCATATGTGATATACTTATTTATATTCACACGTGCACGTGACATGCATATTTATGCATGTGTGTAACGTGATACACATTTCTGTATACCTGTGTGCATGAAGTACACACGCAAATCCCTGCACGCACTAAGAATCTGATCCTTTTCTTCCCAGATGAGTCGTCTGGCATCTCAGACGACCACCTCCAAGTCCACTCCCAGAAAAAGGTGCAAAACCTACAACCAAGTCCAACTCCGAAGCGCGGGCGCTGGTGACCGAGACCCCGCCCACAAGTAGCCCCGCCCTCGACCCCGCCCGTGGCGCCGCGGCCCCCGCCCATAGCTCCGGCCCCGCCCCCGGCCGCAGACCTTGGGTCACCGCGGCACGCTCCCACGCTCCGACGCAGAGTTCTTGGCGGGCGCGCGCACGCCAGCAGACCGCCAGGTGGAACGCCATGGCGTCCGCCGCGGGCACGCGCACGCTGGTGGGGCGTCGGGAGGAGCGCCGCAGCGTCGATGGCGGGCGTGCGCACGCTGGCTGGGCGCCGGGAGGAGCGCCGCGGCGTCGATGGCGGGCGCGCGCACGGCGGCGGCGGCCGGCGGCCATCTTTCTTCCCGGCAGCTGTTCCCGGCGCAAGTGCGGGTCCGCTTGGCTGCGGCGCCCTCGGCCTCAGATCTGTGGGGAGGCGTGGATGACTGGGGAGGTGAGAAGGAGCCGCCTCCCAGTGTCGCCGCGCCCCAAGCCGAGGGCAGGCCCGGGCGGGCAGAGTCCCCCGGGCGGGCTCGGGGTCGCTCCGCGGCGCAGCCTCGTCCTCCCCGCCGGGACCATCCCCGGGCCCTGCCCGCCCGCCCGCTGCTCTCAGGGTCCGGGGCTCCTCCCAGATGGGATAAGCTGTAAAGATGTTCAGCTTTGAAGGCGATTTCAAAACGAGACCCAAGGTGTCCCTCGGAGGCGCGAGCAGGAAGGTAAGCGCGGCGGTGCCCCCGGCGGCCGGGCCTGGGGGCGGGGGCGGGCGGGGGCAGGCAGCGGCCGGGAGGGCGCTGGGTCCGCGCCCGGGGCTGGAGCAGGTGCGCGGGGCGGGGGTCGCCGCGTCCCGGACCGTGCTAGGGGGCGCGAGGCGCGCAGCCCTCTCGGTGTAGGTAGCGAAGGACACAGTATTTCTTCTGGGACACGGGTTGTGCTACTTTGTCACGGCCGAGCCGGCGCAGCGCTTCCTGGAGGGCGCTCCCCCAGGGGTCCCTGTTGCGGGAAGTAAACAACACGCGTGCGTCCCTGTTGGCCGTCTCCGAAATCGGGGCGGCGCCGCCGGCCTGCCGCGCCTTCGAGGCCGAGGCTGTGAAGGTGATTCTTTCCCAGCCTCTGCAAACGTGTTTCTGGAGACTTTCCTTTTTTCTGCCGCGATTCTTAGAATTGTTTGGAGAAGGGCTGGACGAGCTGTTGCAATTCCGCACAGACACAGCCAGCCGGCGGCGGTCCCCGCCCCGGAACCACGTCCCCGGCTGCAGCGGGACCCGGCGGCCCGGTGCACCGCTGATAGGGGTGCCCCGCGCGCCCCGCTGGCGGCTGACCCTGTGCTGTCGTCCGGGAACCACCCGCTCAGAGGAGGGGAGCTCTTTGATGAGCATCTCAAGGGACGGTCGCACGTCTTGCTTTTTAGCTGTGCAGTCAATTGTCCTTTTTTTCCGCTTTTCACTGAGGTGCAGCCTTTTCATCATTCAGGGTCCCACACATGCCCCCTCCCCGTGCGGCGGGGACCGAAGGAGGGGCGGGGAGCAAGGTGGCGGCGGCACGCTTGTCCCTTCTCAAGCGAGCGAGGGGCGGCGTCTTGAACCCCCTGGAAGTCAGTGCGTACCTGCAGGCTCCCGCCCGGGGAGGCTGCCCCAGCGGGTGGCTGTGCCCGCGGCGCTGGGGGGTGGGTGCGCTGTGGGTTCAGCAAGAAAGATTTTAGCTTTGAACACACGCGTGTGAGCGCCGCTCGTCCGGGGTTCCCAGGCTCCTTTCCTCCTGTCGCCTCACGGCTGCTCTCCTGCCCAGATGTGACTAGATTCCCACCTCTTTTACCGCAGGTCAGTTTTCCCTCCTGACTGTCCTGTGAACGGAGCCTCCTGCCCTTTCTCCTCTTTTCGGTCTGGCGTCCTGACTCATCCAGCGTCTGTCTGGGGAGCGGGACCCATTCCTCTGGGTTTCTCGCGTGGTGCAAATGCCCTGCCGCTGACCCGCCTTCTCCAGGGGCCTGGCTGTGGAGCTCTGCGGCGGGCGCCCCCAGCTGCTGGGCCTGGCGGTCCCGGGGCTCCCCCCTCCGCAGGCCTGAGGGTGCCTGCGCCACCACTTCCTTGCCAACACTTAGTATTGTCAGTCCTTTTAATCCTGGCATTTATGGTGGGGCTGTAGCTTCACTGTAGTTTGAATTTTGTTTCCTGACATTTATGATGTCGAACACCTACACACACGCTTATTTTCTGCTTGTTTTCCTTAACTCTCTTTGTTCTTTCTCTTAGTTAACTTTTTAAATTTTTTTTAGAGAGAGAGGGGAAAGGAGGGAGAAAGGGAAACATCAGGCGGTTGCCTGTCGCACGCCCCCGTCCAGAGACCTGGCCCGCAGCCCAGGCCTGGGCCCCGACCTCGTGGTCTGCAGGCCGGTGCTCAGTCCACGGAGCCACACTAGCCAGGGCCTCTCCCTTAGTTAAAAGTAATTATCTCTTCTCCGTGTCTTATTATTTGAAATTTTCCCCTTTTTCTTGACCTTAGTGGAAAACTGAATAGTTGTCACGTTTTGCATAGATTCATCTTTTTTCCCCAAAATAAATGAATATTTTTAGTGTTTATTTCTGAAGGTTCTGTGTAGGATCTGAAACGTTGTAAGGAAACGTCTGTGTCCTCATTGTAATCTTGTTGGGAGCATAAGACTTAAACGGCAGAAGGCAGGTTACAGTGGAGAGTGATTGTGACCCCTGCTTTCCGGTGGGGGTGTCCTAGGGAAGGGCAGCTGGAGGGGGCGTGGTCTCGAGGAGGGCAGGATGGGGCAGGGGAGGGACGGGGGTGGGGGGCGTCCTGTGGGTGGAAGGGCGGGCACGGAGCTTGTGGGCACTGGGTTCCAGGGGCCGCATCACACCACTTCCACGGTTAACGCTTCTGAGATCCGGGAGCCTCGTGGTGGCCTGGGGTCGGTGATTGGGGGTGTTTTCTTTCCCTTTTCTGTCGTGCCCGGAAGAGCATCTCTGGAAGTCATTTGCTCACAAGTGTAAGAATCCCTTGAAGCCCACTTAGCAGGCAAAACAAAAGTGCCCGGGGAGGGGGTGACGGCGGCTCACAGGATGGAGGGCCCGAGGCCTCCCCGTGCAGCGGGTCACCAGCAGCCGGGGGTTCCTCTCCCCGGGCCCTGCCTCTGCCACACCCTGGGCTCTGCAGCCTGGCCTTCTCCTTCCACCGGCCGGCGATCTCCGCCGAGGACGGTTTCCTAGGTCGGGAGTCCAGCTGTGCCAGTCAGGGCTCAATTTTACTTCTTAGAAGAGGGAATCTGATTGGTCCCGGGCGGGAGCTGGAACCTTTGGTAGGACGGAGCCGTCTAGATGTGCAGGAGGGGGATCCACGCGCTCAGCGGGGGAGGGCTTGCGCGGAGGGCAGGGGTGCGCGACGGCTGTTGCCTGCGTGTGTGCGACTCGGGGGGGATGTGGGGTAGACGTGCAGATTGGGGGCTCAGCAGCAGATGGCGGCTTAGAATGAAGTCCCCTAGGAGAAGGCACAGAGTTGAGGACAAGGGGAGACTGTGGGGCATTGCAACATTTAATAAGTGGGGGGAACTCTTAGGAAAGAGTCATGTGGGCTAGGGGTGGGGGGTGACCACAAAGCCAAGTGCGGCAGGGGTGCCGTGAAGGAAAACGAACCTACGGGGGGGCCTGGTGGCTTTAGAGGGAGCAGGTGGCGGGGCAGCAGGAGCTGGGTCACAGCAAGTACATGAGGGGCGAGCAGGGCGTCATTGCAAAGGGCCTGAAGGGGACTGGACTCCCGGTTGGAGGGAGGTATCCTCTTTTGGGGGGGTGGGAGGAACGTGGCCACGCTCAGAGGAGGGCGGGCGGCAGGGGGAAGGGCCTGGGAGCGGGAGCGGGTGTGGGGGCGCCGTGGAGGGGAGGGGACCTGCGTGTCCGTGGTAGTCGAGGTGAAAGTGGCAGTAGAGTCCATGTTTGTTTCACGTTTGTCTGTTTTTTTAAAAAAAATTACGGGCTTTGTTTTTTAGAGCTTTTCTTAGGTTTACAGAAAACTAAACCGAGGGTGCAGAGCTCCCGTATTCTCCCTTTCCTCCACCGGACATGTCTCCCATTTCTGGCGTCTCATGTGGCTCCTCCGCCTGCATCGGGCGAACCCGGACCGAGACCTCAAGGTCCGCTCTCCGCGCTGCGCCTCCTGGGGGCTGCGGGGCGCGTGCCCAGGGTTGCGGAGCCCTGCGGGGCGCCCTCGGTCCTCCCTGTCCCTGCTCCCGGTGGGAGCGATGCGGAGGGAGCGGCTCATGTGAAGGCGCTTTGACTGCGTGGAGCAGGTAGCGCCGGGTCGGTGCTGGAGGGCGGGAGCGGCGGCTGAAGCGCAGGCGGTGGTCTGGCTGCGTCGGTCATGGAGGGAGTCGCCCGTAAAATGCCCAAAGGGACGGAGGCCGTGAACACCTGTGGGCGGTTTAAAAAAAAACCAAGGTCTCAATAAACACGCTGAAGTTCTTCTTAAAAAATGGTTAGCAGTCGATTTGAGCATTTGATTTCTATGAAAATTGTCATGTTATATAAATTTTCTTTGACATATACTCATTTCTTAACCATACACTTTTTTATTCGAATGGGTAGTAAAATCTAATTAAACTACATATGCCTTGCTTTTTAAAAAACTTCATTTTGTTACCACTAAGTTTATTTGCATGAAGGAAGTGTTTTTCCCCCATTTAAAAACATCTCTGGTAACGGAGGCGGAGGCGTGAAGCGTGGCCGTTAGTTTTCAGAGGCGATAAGGCGATGTGCCTGCAGCCCAGGGTCACGGAGGAGCTCGCGGCCCCCGTGGCGGGGTGAGCGATGCGGGGCGGGGGGCCGTCAGCCACCAGGAGCCCCTGACGGCCGTGACGGACCCTGACCTTTCTGGGCCTGTAGGTGAAAGGTGTTTTCAGGTATAAGTGTAATAAATTGAAACCAAACAGTCAAAATCTGGATGTGCTTTTGGCCGGCACCTTGTTCTTTTCCTCCCAGCCACTTAGTTGTGAACTTACCCTTGGTTATATTGAACGGTGTTCCAAATTAATGTTTGCATGGAGCTTCGTTAGTTTTTTTGTTCTAAAAGGTGAGGCAATCTTACACGTGCAGGGGTGATAACGGGAAAGGAAGAGGCCCCCAGCCGCGCCCCAGCCCTGTCCTCCCCGTCGACTCTCGCCGGGCTCCTTCCGGCCTCCCAGAACCCCCAAAACGCAGTCTGTTTATAAAAAGTTGTGGATTTCCTCTCGCACGTTTAAACTCCAGTCACCTTCAGAGCCCTGCCCTTTGGATGCGATGCCCCTATTGAGACTTTTTTCCCATGGCTCAAAACAGTTTTTGAACTTGTGAATTTCGATGCCTTTTGGTGCTTGTCTTTTTTTGTTTCCCCTTTTCCAAATCAGCAAAACGTTTCCCTTGGAGGACTTTTTTCATCCGGGAAAACAAAAAAAAAAGCCACTCATTGAATGGGGAGGGTAGGACGCGGGGATCATGCTGTTTCAGGTCAGAAACTGCCGAACACTCAGGGCAGGCTCGGGGCGCGCGGGCGGGCGGGCGGGCACGGCCCGGAGTCTCCCACCCTGCGGCGGCGGGCGGGCGGGCAGCAGGGCCAGGGTCTTCAGAAAAACGCACCGCCGCCGGACGCAGTCTCTCACCACACGCCAGCCGGTGCCCTGCGCACCTGGGCTCCTGGAACGCGCCCCAGAAGGGGGCCTGCACAAGGAGGGCCGCCCTCCCCAAGGTAACGCCGGGTGCGTGCACTCCCCGGTTGAGACATGCAACAGAGCACGGCAACAGAGCACGTCGCACGGGCACCTGTCCCCAACAAGACCCCCGCAGGAGGCGCCGGGCGCCGGTGCCGCGTGGCTGCTGCGTCCTTGTGAGGAGCCGGGGGGCGCCCTGTGGCAGAGTGGCCCGTAGCTGAGTTGGCTGCGACGTCTTTGATGGCCACTTAGGTGAGGTGCGTTTTTTGCTGATCTAAACAACGTTGCAGTGTTATCCTTGTCATGTGCCTGTGCTGTGTGGCGGTTCAGTTTTGAGTTCTAAGTCAAGGCTCCATGCGCTTGGAGTTTCAGGAGTTTCAGGAGACGCTTTGGGGGCTTTGGGGCGGCCCTCCGAGGGGCGTGTCGGTGCAGGAGACGGCCCCCTGCTGCCCAGCTGCCGGTGCACAGCTTGGGAAGCCCGTCTCACTGGGTTTTGTGGCATTTTTTCCTAAGATGGGCAAGGATAAAGTTCTTATATTTAAAAGGTATTTTTGTTTGTTCCTCTATGCACTGTGTATAACTTTTGCTAATAGTTCTACTCGTTAATCTTTAAAATTATTAGAGACCTTTTACATATAGTTTTGCAGTGTTGCAAATGTTTATTACTACTTTATCACTTTTTTAAACCTTGGTTATGATATTTTTCTTTGTAAAAAGTTTTAATTTCTGTGTAGCCTAATTTGTCATTCTTAGGTAACTTAAGGGTTTAAGTAACCTAATGACAAAAGGTAACATAGATTTAATGTGTGGTATCTTTCTTGGGAAGTCGTCTTCCTCGAGGTTTATTTCTTAAGTATATTTTATTGATTATGCTATTACAGTCCCGCGTTTTCCCCTGTGCCCTCTTCCGCCCAGCACCTCCCTTCCCTCCAGTGACCCCCGCCCCCCCGCCCCCCTCAGTCCACGTCCATGGGTCGTGCACGTTAAGTTCCTTGGCGTCTGCGTTTCCTACGCTGTTCTCAGCCTCCCCCGGGCTATTCTGCACCTGCCAGTTACGCCCCTTAGTCCCTGCGCCTTTTTCCCGAGTCTCCCCCGACCCCGTCCCCACCGATAACCCTCCGTGTGACCTCCATTTCTGTGATTCCGTTCCTGTTCTGGGTGTTTAGTTTTTTAGATTCAATTGTTGATAGTTATGTATTGGTCGCTGCTTTAATGTTCATTGTTTTGATTTTTCTTTTTCCTAAATAAGTCCCTTTAACATTTCATATAATAAGAACTTGATGACGATGGACTCCTTTAGCTTTATCTTGTCTGGGAAGCACGTTCTCTGCCCTTCCGTTCTGCATCGTAGCTTTGCTGGGTAGAGGGATCTCGGTTGTGAGTCCTTGCTTTTTATCACTTTGAATACTTCTTGCCAGCCCCTTCCTGCCGAACAAGTTTCTTTTGAGAAATCAGCTGATAATCCTAGGGGAGCTCCTTTGGAGGGAACTCTCTGCTTTTCTCTTGTTGCTTTTAAGATTCTGTCTTTATCTTTAACCTTTGGCATTTTAACTATGGTGTGTCTTGGCCTGGGCCTCTTTGGGTCCATCTTGTTTGGGACTCTCTCTGCTTCCTGGACGTGTCTATCTGTTTCCTTCACCAAATTAGGGAAGAGTTCTTCCATCATTTTTTCAAATAGGTTTTCAATTTCTTGCTCTTCCTCTTCTCCTCCTGGCGCCCCCGTGATTCGGATGATGGTACGTTTGGAGATGCCCCAGAGGCTCCTTAGTCTGTCCTTGCTTTTTTATTCTTTTTTCTTCCTGCTGTTCTGACTGAATTCTTTTTCGTTCCTTGTGTCCTGAATCATTGATTTGAATCCCGGCTTCGTCCCCTCCTCTGTGGGTTCCCTGCGCGTTTTTCTCTCGTTCACTGAACGTAACCTTTATTTCTGCCGGGGTCTTTTTTATGGCATCGACGTACCCGATGAGTTCCTGGGGCGTCCTGACAGCGGCGTTTCGAACTCTGCCTCCGACAGCTTAGCGGCCTCCGTTTCACTGGGTGCTTTTCCTGGGGTTTTGGTCTGTTCTTTCATTTGGGCCCTATGTGCCACTGGTGCCCGTCCTGGTGCTGAGTCCCAGAGGGATTGGGTCTGCGTGAGTCCTGGGTCCATTGCGGGCCCTTTACGAGGATGCAGTTTCTCCCACTGCCCCAACACCCCCGCCCCCGCTGGTTTTTGCAGCCAGAAGTTACAGGGGGTTATCTTCCTGGCGCTGGGACCCTGGGCTGGGTGGTCCGGGCTGGGCCTGGGATTCCTCTCTCCCGAGGTGTCCCTTCTGTTTCCCCCACCGCATGTGGGTGTGGGACCCCACCTACACCTGTCTGCACCTCTCTGCGAGTCCACCCCTCCTGCCCACCTGGGTGAGTGCGTCTTCTCTGCACCCTTGGTTGTCGGACTTCCACTCAGCTCCGTTTTCTGACAGTTCTGGGCGATGCTTGTTTTGTAGTGAGGCTCTATTTTTGCTGCAGTTGGGGTGGAGGTGAGCTGTGTTTATTACCTACGCCTCCATCTTGACCGAAAGTCGAGATTTAGTTCATTTTGCACTGTCTCCACGTGTGTTTCAGGGCTCCTTGTGTACGTAGATCTTAGGTGGGTAGGCGTCTATCTCGGTGTGAAGACTGGGGATGCGGTGTCGATTGTTGAGCCCCTCAGTCGTCCGGCAGTGTGGATGGAATATTCGCTTTTTTCATGGGCTTGGGGTGCCAGCTCTGTCACATGCGTCTCCCTGGAGACCCCTGACATTGACGTGTCTGATCACAATTGGCCTGTTAGTGTAGGTTAGTGTTTGTCCCAAAGTGTGGGTGACGGCCGAGGAGGCGCACGAGGAACATTCACAGCAGTTAGTGGTTTATTCCCATGTCCCATAGGAACACAACCAGGACATCAGTTCTGTCACGGCCCTGAGACGCTTGCTCACGGCGAGGCTGGCGTGGGGAGCCCTGTGGGGAGCCAGGCGTGCGGCGCGGGTCGGCCTCCCGGGGCTGCGGGCTGGGCGTGGGCCCGCGCCGTGGGCACTCTGGCGCTCACGTGGATTCCTGTCGGCTTGCTTGTTTCTCTTAGCGGCTGTGTGGCCAGATGCCACTGCCAGCAGCTGACCGTTGTTTGCCCATGTGAGCCGCTAGCGGTCGGTGCTCTGCCTGTGACTGAGGGCCGTGCCTCTGCCTTCATTCCCTCCCACCTGGCCGGTGGGCCTGACACGGGTGAGGGGTCCAGGAGGCACAGCGCCCCCCCCCCCCATGAAGCCTAGAGGTGGAGGCTGCCGTACCCGCTGAGGCCCAGGGGACGGCCCGGTCACTGCCATCTGCCTGCATGTCCAACGCGGACGCAGCAGCGGCCGACGGGAACACGCCCCCCCGCCCCGTCTTGCATGCTTAGCCTGGGACACCCTGGCCGCTGTGACGGAGGGTCTGGAATCTGATTCCTCCAGGAGGGCCCGAGGGAGCGAAGGTCCCCATTATGGACACGGTCTGGCGCGGGGCCGGCACCTAAGCCTCGTGTAGGAGTGGCGAGGTGTCCGCCGCCCACGCCCCTGGTCGGCCGGGGCACGGAGAGCGAGAGGGCCGGCGACAGAGCCGGGCGCGCCGCTGCCGGGGTCCCTGCGGCTGTCGTGGCCTGGCCCAGGCACGGACCGGCCAGGGGAGGGCGGGGGGCGGCCCCTCACTGCGGACTGAGGAGCCAGGCGACCTTGTGGGCCAAACGGCCCTTCGCTCTTTGACCGCCATGAGCCGAGTGGTCAAGTGTGTGACAGACTGGACTAACTCTTGAACTGGAGGAAATCGTTTAAAATCCGTGGGTGACTCCGTGACAGTGACACAGACGTGCATATGACGTTACAGGGAAAGCGGGGGTGGGGGGCAGAGCCTCGCGCCGCTGCCGGTGAGAGCAGCACAGGTATCACTGCGCCGCCCTGGCTGAAGGCGCCGCCTTTCTCCTGCCACTCCGAGAGGGCGGGGCGGCCCCCCACGCCCCCAGGCTGGCAGCAGGAGGCCCTTCTGCCCAGCGGGCTTCCCCCGAGCGGGCTTCCCCCGGAGCCGCGGTGCCCGCCTGGCCGGGAGGGGAGACGCGGGCAGCAGGGGAGGGGTTTGCACGCGGCGTGTTCCGAGGTAGGGAGGAGCAGGGGCCGTGCGTGCAGGGGACCGTGGCCCCGGCCTTCCCCCGCCCTCTTGAAGATCAGTGTGAGAATATTGCTGAACGAAGGGACGCATCCCGAGAGGCAGACTCTGCGTGCTTTCTTAAAACGCGTTTGTTTCGAGAAACCACACTTAGTGTTTTCGTTAGCCATTTATTGTCAGAAACCGATCCCTGTTTATTATTTAGTTCCTTCTATATAGCAAATAAAAATAAATAAAACTTTCCTCAGAATTTAGTTTTATTAATAATGAAAAAAGTATTTTTTCAGAAAATACATTTTAAAATTTGGTAGCAATAGATAAAGTGACTTTAAAAAATTTTTTTTACTTATTTTTAGACAGAGGGGAAGGGAAGGAGAAAGAGAGAAAGAAACATCCATGTGCGGTTGCCTCTCATGTGCCCCCTGAGGTGCCCCAACTGGGAATCGAACCAGCGACCCTTTGGTTTGCAGGCCGGCGCTCAGTCCACTGAGCCGCGCCAGCCGGGGCGAGAAATTGACTTTGGTTGAGGTGGTTGCAGACCCTTGGGCAGCTGCTGGGACTCCTGCAGGAGGCCCTGGGGCCTGTGGTGCCTAATCTCCCCTGGGCTGCGCTCTGCGCAGCTGGTCCCACGTCCCAAGCAGGGTATCGGCCGTGCACCAGCCTCTCCCACCTCCGGTTTCACGTGAAGTCGCTTTGTGTGTAAAGATGATTCTTAGGGAACTGCTGACCTCCTGACTCTCATCAGCTCCGGGGCCTCGCGTGCCTCACGTGTCTCATGCGGTCAGACGGTTTGACTGCATGATCCTGAGAATCTTTCTGGGTCAGAGCTTTCTGTAATGTTTGTATCTCTTTGTGTTTAGGAAGAAAAGGCTTCTCTTTTACATCGGACTCAGGAAGAGAGAAGAAAGAGAGAGGTAAGAGCGGTTTGGGGGCAGCCAGTAGACAAGGGTTTTCCCAGGTCATTGAAACGCCTTGGCCTCGTGGTCCTCTGTGGGCCCGTGTGTGACGTGTGACATGCTCTGTGTGTGCCCGTGCGTGTGCAGGCGCATCGAGCTTCAGGAGCGTTTCTGGTTTCATTGTCTTTTCCAGCAAGGCCTTTATCCCGAGCCCAGTGTAGAAAAGATGGCAGAGCGGGCAGCCTCCAGAATAGGAGGCGTCCGTAGAGACGCGGAGCCGGTGCCCATCAGACGGACGGCTGGTCTCATTGTCACGGCCACGTTTGGCTTCCGACCCCTGAGTTTCTGGCTTTATTTAATCTTTACGGAAACCTCAGTTTCTGCATCTTCCAAACAAGGGTAAAACGTGGAAGATTATTGGGCAGGCGCACGTGGAGTGTTTCTCTCCGCACACGGGAGGCGCTCAGATGGGGTGCCTGCGGCGGGGCAATGGCGGCGGACAGTGTGCGGTTTTGCTAGGTCACCGGATAGAGTCTCAGGTCAATAGAAATTGGAGTTTCCTGCTTTGAAACAAGAACGTGACCCTTCGGACAGATGTTTGCGTTGTCTGTATTCGTTTAATATTTAAAACCTACTTAAAGTCTTGCTGTGCTGGTGGGATTGTGAACGAGCGCGGCCGTCGTGGAGAAGAGCCTGGCAGCTCCTCGGGTGCTGACCTCGCGCCCGAGTCCGCCCAGGGGACGGGGGAGACGCCGGTCCCCACAGACACTTCTCGCGCGCGGCCACCGCAGCCCTGGTCGCGCGAGCCCGAGGCGGGGCAGCGCAGGTGTCCGTGGCCGGGCCGAGGCCGCGCACAGCGCGAGGCGGTCCTTCTGCCCGTCGCCCGGAGGCGGGCGCGCTGGCCGCCGCGGGGAGGGGGCGAAGGACGTGGTCTGCGGGGGGAGGGGGGCCTGCGTGCGCTTGGGGAGTGCGTTTCATGGTGTGTGCGTTTATGGCTGCGATTTTTTTAAGTCTTTACTAACTGAGTATTATTTTACTAATTCTCACCGATGGTTCCCTCCTCTGTTCAGGAAGAAAGGCGGAGATTGAAAAATGCGATAATTATCCAGTCGTTCATTCGAGGCTATCGAGACCGAAAGCAGCAAGTAAGTGTGCTACAAGCTGAGGAAGAGCTGCAGAGGCGCGAGCTCGTTTCACCTGGCGGCCGTCGCGTCTTAGAAGTGGAATCCATGTTGTGTTTTGTTTTTGAGATATTACTTATTTTTAGAGATGGGAAGGGAGGGAGAAAGAGAGGGAGAGAAACATCGATGTGTGAGCAGTTGCTTCTTACACGCCCTGCACTGGGGGGCCTGGCCCGCAACCCAGGCCTGCGCCCTGACTGGGGATCAAACCGGCGGCCCTTCGGTTCTCAGGCCGGCACTCAGTCCGCTGAGCTGCGCCAGCCGGGGCCATTTTGTGTGTATTTTTATAAACCTCTTTAACGAAAGTTTATCTTGATAGTAGTATTCCCCCAGTAACTAATTTTATTAATTTAGATTTACATAAAGATGGACAGGTAGGTGAGGTTTTTTTTTGTTTTTTTTGTTTGTTTGATTTTTTAAATAGTAAAATACCACCAGGCCAAACTGCAGCCGAAGGCCCCAGGAGGAGGGAGCGGTGGCAGCCGGTCTCCGTGGGTGTCGGAGGGGCTGCCCTGCCTCCGGGTGTTTGGGTTTTATTTGACCTGCTCCTGATGGCTCCCCGGCCACACGTCTTCGCTGTCGGCGTGCCGCCCCCTCCCCCGGAAAGTGTTCTGCTGGCACCCGACCCGGCGCGCGCTGCCCCCCGTGCTGACTGGGCGCTGCTTCCTTTGCAGTGTTCCATCCAGAGAAGTGCGTTCGACCGCTGTGCTGACCTGTCCCGGCCTGGCGGCGCTTTCCCCATCGCTAACGGCCCCAGCCTCACACTTCTGGTCAGGCAGCTTCTGTTTTTTTACAAACAGAACGAAGACTCAAAGCGTTTGGTGAGTGTTAGCTGCATTTTCACTTCTTCATGTTTACGTCAACGCCTGCTTTAAAACGTGGGTAGATGGCCCCTCCTTGGTCCCATCTTCCTCATCTGGGGCTGATGTGTTTGACCTCTTAAAAGTTGGTGCAGACTTTTAATGGGTTTGTTCATTTTTATTATGGAAAATTTCAAACGTAAGAGAAAGTAGAATAATAGTTGAGCCATGCGCTGTGGACCCAAGGCAGGTATGGACAGCCGGTTTCACACAGAACCTTCCACACCTGTGTCTGTGATCTCTGTAAATATTTTAGTATAAATCCCTAAATCAGAGGTTTCTTCCTTCCTTCCTTTTTTTTTCTTTTTTAAATCCTCGCCTGAGGACATGCTAATTGATTCTAGAGAGAGGGGAATGGAGGAAGATGGGTTGCGTCTTGGAAGGGCCCCCACTGGGGAGTGAACCTGCAGCCCAGCCACGCGCCCTGGCTGGAACCGAGCCCACACAGTCTGGGTTCAGGGGACAGCGCCCCACCCGCTGAGCCACAGCAGCCAGGGCACGGTCTCTTTCTTAAGACATCAAAGTAGACCTGGATCACTTAAATCTTAGAGGCTTCTAACGTGATCAGCAATGAGGAAGAGTGCGTGTTAATGGGAGGGATTTATATGAACATGTAGATGAATAATAGGTGCAGAGGACAAAGGACTACGGTATTGTCCTGGGGTTGGGCTTCAAATCCCCACACGGCCTCCTGAGCGAGCGAGACCGGACCACGCCCCGGAGCCAACAGGGAGAAGCCCGGCCGGCATCCCCGAGGGCAGGCTTTTCCCGCTCCCCTCTGGCTCTAGGGGAAGGCGGGTCAGGAGGGGGCGCAGGCGGCGATCTGCGTCCTTGCTGGGCCTGTCCGCCGGGTGTGCTGGGCTCCTGTCTTGGAGACGCGGGAGACGTGGTGCCCATGGGCTGTGGCCGTTGTCTCCCGAGCGCCCTCTCTGTGGAGACCGGCTCCCGCCCTCTCCAGGTGCCAGCAGGGTCCTGTGGGCGCGCCCCGCGGCTTGCCCGGGGCGCACCTGCACGGTCCGCCTCCGCAGCCAGGCCTGCAAGCTGGGGCGGGGAACGTGCCGGCCCCGGCCCGCAGCGAGTCCAGGCAGGCTGTCCTGCGCAGGGTCTGACGCCTGGAGGGAACTTACGCCATGGAGCCTGGCTGGCAGGACCGCAGTCGGCTTGGCTGTTCAGTGTGCAGACACGCAAGCCCAGTCGTCACACGTGGGGAGGTCCCCTGCCCAGCCTCAGGGCCCCCAGTTCCCACCGCAGGAGGGGGGTGGTGCCGGTGGGGATTCCGGTTGCGTGTCCCTGTGCTGCCCCACCGCACGCCTCCTTTGTCTGTTTTGGTGACTTTACATATGCTCTCTGCTAAAAGAGGGCACCATGGTTCCGTTTCTTTTGTGCGCAGTTTCTTCATATTATTCTGGAGTTAACAATGATCTCACTCCCGTTTAGTTTTCTTGGAATCCCTTGCTGACGTTCCCTTCCACCAGTACTGCCAGGTACTCCTCAGTGCCGTTGGCCGTGACTGACGCAGCCGGGTCGCCTGGCTCTGTCTCCCCAGCGGTCCCCCCAGCGCTGTCCGCCTGCCCCCCCGTGGGGCAGCGGCTCCCCAGGCCCGCCTCTCTCCTGCGGAGGTCTCTTGCCTGGCCTCCCCTCAGGTCCTCCTTCCCCGCTGCCTGTCTTGAGGCTTTCTTGGCTTACTCCCTGTGCCGCTGGTCCCTGTCCTCAGCCGGTCTCCCAGGGAAGGCTGAGTGGGAAGGGAAGTCGAGCCAGGTGTCCAGTGCAGCTCTCTGGACCGCGTCCCTGCGCGTGTCAGGGTTGTGAACACAGCGTCAGGTCCAGTCCAGAAAGTGCTCGAGGGTGGCATCAGGCTGCTGTGGGTTTTACTGCATAGACGGCTGGAAACCTTCCTGCCTAACATACTCACAACCTCGTTCTTGTCATTCCCCAAGTCGCCCTGTAGACTTGCACAGCGTGAAGTGACAGTGCGGCCTGTTCTTGTCGGCTCGGAGGCAGCGCCTGTTCTGGAACGCAGTGCGTGTCGGGCAGTGCAGGGCGCGTCTGCCTCACGCTGGGCCCCGGGGAACGCGAGCAGGGCCCCCGGGCCTCGGGTGGAGCGCAGGGTGCGCCCGGGCGAGCGTGTGGCCTGGGGCCCCGGGGCTGCCTCCCCGCTGCAGGCACACTGACAGGGGGCGTGCTTTTGCAGTGGGGTGTTCGCGGTTTGATAACATTTGATATCAAACAAGTGCCACTCTGGGAGAGAAACTCCTGAAAGATAACAAGGAGAGGTTGTGTGGTACATTTGTAACAAGCTGCGTTCAAGAGGCTGCCTTCGTTTTCTCTGGTTCTGGATGAGTTTTAGAAACCGAACAAATAGCACCTTCACGAATATAGGAAAGCAGAGAAGGTTCCTTGTTAGGTACTGTGTTTTTAAAGTCATTTGTTGCAGCTGCGACCGTGCACATAGGCCTCCCGGTTGCAGGTTTGGTGGAAATCGGTGGGCACCTGCCAAACTCGCTGACTGGTGGTCCTGTGCCGGGGGCAGGGAGTCTGGCCGCCTGCCCTGGAGCTGGCCTTTTCCCCCAGCTGAGTTGGGTACAACTGACAAAATTTTAAGATATTTAAAGTGTGCGCCATGGTGAGTTTATGTGGGTAAACACTATGAAACAGCTCCTCCCGCCCCGCTCGATAACGCAGCCATCAACTCAGATGTCACATGCCTGACCTCCTGGGAATAGTGGGGACACAGGCGCCGTTCCTGCCAGAGTTCCCTGGAGTTCGGGGGGTGGAGGGTCTGACAGGAGCGGGTGCTGGAGACACGGGGAAACGGGAAACAGGCACCGACCTATGGTTAGGGTTGCGTTTCTCCTGTGCCTTTATTAGGGGTTGCTGATCCTGCAGACGAATGGAATTTGCGTCCGACCTACAGGAGTTTTAAGCGTACAGTGTTGTAGTGATGAAGAGTAGCCTCGCTAGGATGCCGCAGTGCCGCTCCAAGGCGGGCGCCCGGCAGCGTGGGTGCGGCTCAGCGAGCCCCAGCCTGGAGGCGCCGCTCCCCCGCGTCTGCGGGTCTGGCGCCGCGTCCGTTCACCTCCCAAGGGTGCGGGCAGCGTTGCGTGAACGGGCGTCGTGGTCTGGGGAACAGGCGGCCGTGGGGCTGAGGGTTGTAACGTGTGTGTTCCGCTGTTTCAGATCTGGATGTGTCAGAATCTCGTCAAGCACAGCACGCTGTTTGTGCAGCAGCTGGATGGACCGGACAGGCTGACGTGCTTGTTTCAGATAAAAAGGCTGCTGAGCCTCTGCTGCAGGTAAGCCTGTCGCGGTGGGCGGCGTGTGAGCGCGGTGGTCGCTTCGAATGCCCGGGTGGACGCCGTCTGGTTTTCTCTCCCGATGGAGTGGGGCTTTGTTTGTTTTCGATGCTGTGGAGCCTCAGTTCTGCATATTGCAGTTCCTGCTCCTGGTGAGGCTGGCCTGTGGGAGCGACCGTGCAGTGTGGACGCCGTCCAGGCCAAGTGCCCGGCGACGTGCAGGCCACAGGTGCCGGGTTGCTGCGAGCCACACGGTGGCTCCACCCCGCCCCCCGCCCCACCCCCGTTGCTTCCTGCCCTGGCTCCCGCCCGTGGTGGCGGCAGACACTCCGCCCGGTGTGTCTCCAGACAGTGCAGCGGGCGCCCGGAGGGAGCCCGGGCTCGGTCCCGGGTGGGAGTTGGTAACAGGGCGCTTCATCACGGTGCGTCACAGCGGAGACCCACACTGGGGCGCTTCCCGGTGGCCGTGAGGCCAGCACGGGGAGAGACTGTGCGCCTGTCGAAGCGGAGCCCGTGGATCGGCCTCGCGTGACTGCCCCTCCGTCACCATGGGCTTGGCGTGTGTTGCAGTTGGTCCCGCCCGTGGCGTGTGACATGGTGACCCTCTCCTTCGGGCCGGCCGGTCGGCGACGTCTGTGCCGTCGGCCGCGTCAGGCAGCGGGGCCCCGTGCGGCTCTCCCGTGTCCTGCGGGCGCGGCCCAGGGGCGTTGGGAGCATGTCTTGCCTCCTGGGACCGCAGCCCTCCTGGACCTGACTGGGCTCCCCAGGCAGCCCCAGGCTTGGGGCCGTCCCCTCCCAGGGCCCCGGTGGAGGGCGAGGAGGGGCCGTGGCAAGTGGAGCTGGAAGGGGAGACAGCACATGGCCTCGGACAGTGGGGCAGGGGCAGTTTGTTCTTTCAAGAAACAAGCAACCCACTTCAAAAGACTGGGCAGCCCTGACCGGTCAGCTCCATGGGCGGGCTCTTGTCCCACAAAATAAAAGGCCCCCAGCGTGGCTCCTGGCCAGCGCCCAGGCCTGGGCTGCAGATCCGTTCGGTCCTGTCGGGGCGCGTGCAGCAGGCGGCAGCGGGTCGATGTTTCTCTCGCACCCTGATCTTTCTCTCTCCCTCTTTCTCCTTCTCCTCTGGCTAAATTAGATAAATAAAGTCTTTTTTTAAGATTGGGTAAAAGATTGGATCGCTTTTGAAAAGGAGACACACGAATGATCAGCACACACTTGAAAAGATACTCGGCGTCGTGCATGATCGGGGAGCTAGTGATCCCGGTCGCGTCGAAGCGCCCGTGCGCCTCCGCCAGGGTGGCCGTGGGTTTCAGTGCTGGCACCACGACAGGGAGCGGCCGGGGCTCAGCCTGCCGCTGCCCGTTGGCGGCTCCTCACGAGGCTGAGTGTCAGCCACCGGGGGCCCAGGGGTCCCGCGCCGAGGAAGTCGCCCAGTAGGGACGAGACGTAGGCCCGCACGAGGCTTGTCCTCGCACGGTCACGGCTGCTCCGTTAGCAGCGGCCGAGGCCTGGGCAGCGACCTCGCCGGGAGGTGGGTCCGTTTCCACTTGGGGTGAAACTCGGAGAGAACCTGAGGCGCGCGCACGCACTGCGGCTCCTTCTGCAGAAAATAGCAGGATGTGCAGGCCCGCCTCCGGGGGCGGGGCTGGTGGGGAGGGGAGTGGGAGGGCGGGGTTGACTTGAGCGGCCGAGGGACCCTCCGGGATGGGCGGTGGGTGGTGTCCTCTGCCAGGACGCCTCCTCAGGCCCGTGTCACGCCCGCGTCCCTGCGTGAACGTTATTGCGTGTGAGCTCTGTCTATGGAAAGTTGATTTTAGGAAAAGACACGGTCTGTTTTTAAGTAAGACTGGATTATGTGACAGCCAGCCTTTCTCTTCTGCCTATGATTTTCATACAGTTTTCTTGAGTCAAAATAATAGATGACTTAGGCCCAAGATAGGCGTTAGCCGGCCTGCGGAGGGGAGCACGGGCGGGCAGCGGGGAGGCGCCTCTTCCCTCTGGAGAGAAGAGGTGCGGCCCCCAGGCCTCCGCCGTCCTCGCGCTGTGCCGCGCCCACCCGTCTCTGCGGGCCCCGTGGTTGTGGCGTGCCGTCTCTGTGAGCCCGGTTCGGCGTGAAATAAGGACTCAGAAATAAGTGTGAATACAGGAAGTTCGGTATTTTCCTGTCTGCCTGGGTCCGGCCCATTTTCGGGGCATCCCAGTATGAGGACAGAGTGGCTCAAACACTTACCGTAGCGAGTGCCAGTGACTTGTGGGAGCTTGGGGGGTGGCATTGGCCGTCCAGCAAGTGTGTGAATACCTTCTCCCGTTTTTACAGGTTACTGCAAAACTGTAACGATGACAGTTTGAATGTTGCACTTCCGATGAGAACGCTTGAGGTGTTTTCATCCGAGAATACCTACTTGCCTGTTTTAAAAGATGCCAGCTACGCGGTGTCCGTCGTGGAGCAAGTTTTGTGCTACATGATCCAGAATGGTGAGCGGGGGCGGGGTGGCCTGCGGCCCGGCTTCGCACTTCCTCTGGGTATCGGGCGCGACTGCACGGTTGAGGGGCCTGCCAGGGCCACGCAGCTGATGTCTGTCCTCGCCGCCCCCAGCCCGGCCTTAGAACACGTGGTCGCCCCTTCACTCACTGTCCCTGCCGCTTGGAGATGAAACGAGGACGTCCGCTGCCAGCAGTTGTCCGGGCGCCGCTCACAGCGTGTCTGCCGCGCGGCGGCCAGGAGGCGCCCCGGCCGGTGCCTGTCCCGCTGAAGGCAGCACAGAGCCCTCCCCTTAGCCCCTGCAGGACCGGGAGGGACTGGGCCGGCCAGAGAGTCCGAATGTTTTTTCCATAAAAGGCAAGACACGTTTTTCATGCTCGCCAGTAACTTTATTGATCTGGACATTCGAGTATGTCAGCCATCTCCCGCGTGGTAGGATGTTGGTTGTTTGCAGTTAAGGTCTCGATTTGAGCGCCGTCCACTCCAACGGGCCCGCCCGACTGTGGCGTGGCACCAGCCAGGGGCCTCCCTCCCGCAGGAGACGTCACAGAGCACTTTGATGCACTTGATCAGTCCCAGCACCTTCTCTGTGCAACATGCGGGTCTTTTTTAGTGTTTCAGTTTTGTTTTTACTGTTCTTGAAATGATAAAGCATGGTGTGTTGAAAAAACTGCATATTTTCTTCCATCTTCAATATTAAAATGGCTGCACAAAACCTCACCCATTTTGATGCTTTTTTTAAAATGCATGCTGATAGGTCAGCTGTCACAATACAGTCCAACAAAATTGTTTTGAATGACATTAAAGACAACTGAGTGCTACTAGAGCCATCGAACAGAAAAAACCACACGACCTTTCTCGGCAGCGCAACACTTGGTCCGTCTGAATTTCCCTCCTCGCTGGGCGCTAAGCTTCTGCGCACCGACCTCTCCTGAAGGGGGCGCGTTGCGGGGAGTGTCACCGCCTGGGTCTGAAATGCCTCTGAGGATGCGTCAGTGGCCCCGTTTTGGAGGAGGACTGTGAGGTGCATGTGATTTTAAAATGTTTATGATGAATTAAACGACATAAAACGAAAACACTTCGGACCCTGACCCTCAGGGCTCTCCCAGGCAGGAAGCCAGGGCCCTTGGGTCTTGAGGGGTGTCCGTCGGGCCAGAGACGGTGCCGTCAGTCACGGGAGGAGCGGCAGGTGCTCCTGGAGAACACGGGGGAAGTGCTTTTGTTTTCTCAAAAGGTCGGGCTGGTCTCGGTTAAATCTAGCTAACTGAACCCTCAGGGTTAAAACTGCAAAAAATCAGTGAGGCTCTTACACTTCCAACCTTACTGTTTGGCTTAGGTTTTAATACAACAAGCTCTAGTTCGCTAAAAGATTAGGAAATTAATTAAAAATAAATTTGTGGAATTCAGTTTTTTAAAAACAAATTTGCAGTCATAGAAATGGTCCAGTGTATTAATTGATGTATGAAGTTTATGAATTTAAAGCTAAACGTTCAATTAGAATTTTTACTTTTCTCATTTTCTAGAGGTGTAAAGATAACTAAAATATGCCTTAGTTTGAAATGTGTCTAGGATTGGAAATACTTCAGAATCTTGCACTGAAACTGCTGCTTCTAGCACGTTCTGTGCTGTAGCTATTTTTCAGCTGTTTTTGGTAAATGTCTCCTGACATCATTAGTCTACACAACGTTGGCAGTCGGTGTGCTCCAGCTTGTGGTGTTGGGGGCCTTATGCACTGTGACGTGAGGTGACACTCTTGACACCCGCACTGGACCCTCGACGCCCTGGTGCCGCTTGGTCCACTTCGCGTGCACCTGTTCATGCAACTGAGGAGAGTGCGGGGACACCTTGACGTGGTCTCCTCATGCGTATTTTTAAAGTTCTCATTGTATTTACATCTTTTTAGTTTGATAGCAACAGAGCTTGCGAGGACCCCTGTGGTGTTTCCCTGGCCGTCGCTGTCTGGGGGGTCGGCAGTGGGCGGCCATCACCGCGGGCCTCACTGCGGGCGTGACGCGCGCGCACAGCGCCCCGGCCGTTCTCAAGAGCAATGCCGGGGGGGGGGGGGGCCGGTTTCCCGCCTGCAGCGCCCGGCATGTCGGGCCGGTGTGGAGGGGCTGCAGCTGCACCTGAGGAGCCTCCGCACCGCCTGGCGGAGAGGGGCAGGTACTGCTCCGAGACTGGGGGCTTGGGGCCGCTGGTGTCGCGGAGTTTCTGCTCATTGCGCACGCAGAGATCCCGCTGAAGGCTCAGGACGGCCGCAGCCGGCGCTGCCGCTGCTGCCTGCGCAGAGGTCGCCTTTGAAACGGTGGATGCCCAGCGCCCTTTTGTGATCTACCGAGAAGTGCTTTCCTCTGAAGGTGTTGGCGAGTCCTGGGGACAAGGCAGGACATGAGTGTGGCCCTCTGGTCCCATCAGAGGGCAGAGGTGCTCCTGGGAGCCGCCTCGGCAGGCCCGCCACCCCCCCCCCCCCCCCGCTGCCCTGAGAGAGGACTGTCTGAGTGCCAGCGAGGACGCAGCGCAGTGGTTGTAGCTCATCTGCATGTGTGAGTCCCGGCTCCACAGAAACCACGAAATGATGCCTGGGAGGGTGCTCAAGAGACAGACGTTTAAAACCGCAGCACGCGGGCCTTGTTGGTCCCTGACTCAGGCTGACTAGTTGGATAAAATGTATAGTATGAGTCGGTTCGAGCCTTGAGCACTGACTAGGTGTTTGTGATGTTAGAGAATTATTATTAATTTATTTTAGCTGTGATAATGGGATTTTTAAGAAAAATAAAGTTTTAGAGACTTCCAGTCAAGATGGAAGCATAGGTAAACACACTTCTCCTCGCATAACTACAGAAAAAAATTACAGCCACACGTCGAAGCAGATAGCACCTAGAAGCATGAGAAAGTCAAGCTGTGTGGAAGTCTGACAACCAAGGATTTAAGGAAGCCACGCCCATCCAGACGGGGTGGGGGGTGGGGCGGAGATGGGCGGAGTGGCGCGGGACCCCTGTGGCACCCAGAGGCGGCGGAATGGGTTGGGGCACGTTCACATGAGGCGGATATAGATCTGGAGGGCCACCCTGGGAGCAAAGGATCCCAAGCCAGACGCAGCCCAGGGTTTCAGCTCCAGGAAGATAAATCCCCATAACTTGTGGGTATAAAAACCAGTGGGGGTTGGGGCGGCTGAAGAAACTGCTGGATTTTCAGGAGGCTACACTTAAAGGGCCCACACAGACTTAGGACTCACGCAGGCCCACTCCTCTGGGACTCAGCACCAGGGCAACAACTGGAGAGGCAACAGTTGCCGACGGGGAGAAAGTGAAGTGACCGGAACCAGGGCAAGTGCCGGGCCAACCTCCAGAGGCCAGGCGGCGGCCCTGTCCCCTCTCTGGCCCCCCTCCCCCAACTCAGAGCCACAGAGCGGAGAAGCAGGTTGCCCCGCCCTGGCTATTACCTGAGGCTCCGCCCCACACAACTTACAGGCGCCTTTTCTACAACAGGCCACGCTACCGAGACAGGGAGTCCAAGCAGCTCTACCTGACACACAGGGTCAAACATAGGGAGGCTGCGAAAATCAGGAGACAGAGAAATAGGGCCCAAATGAAAGAACAGAACAAAACCCTGGAAAACACTCAGTGAAACAGAGGCAGCCAAGCGGTCGGAGGCAGAGTTCGAAACGCCGCTGTCAGGACGCCCCAGGAACTCAGAGGTGCAGCAACAACGTGCAGGAGACCCCGGCAGAAACGAAGATTACGTTCAGTGAACTAGAGAAAAACACGCAGGGAACCAGCCGTGGAGGGGAGGAAGCCAGGGCTCAAACCAATGATTGGGAACATGAGGGGGAAATAAGTATTCACTCGGAACAGCAGGGAGAAAGAACAACTCAAAAAAACGAGGATAGACTAAGATGGACCCAAGGAGGCCCACTCCAAGACACACCATAATAAAAATGTCAAAGAGTAAAGATAAAGAATCTTAGGAGCAGCAAGAGGAAAGCCACGAATTACCTAAACAACGGTGTTTCCATAAGACTGTCAGCTGATTTCTCAAATGAAACTTAGGGGGCTAGAAGGGACTGGCAAGAAGTAACAAAGTGACAAAAAGCAAGGATCTGCAGCCTAGATTCCTCTACCCAGCAAAGCCATCATTTGGAACGGAAGGGCAGATGAAGTGCTTCCTAGACAAGGCAGAGCTAGAGGAGTTCATCACCAAACCCTTCTTACGTGAAATTTTAGACTTATCTAAGAAAAAGAAGGTCAAAATGACGAACACTAAAATGGCAGTAAATTCACATCAGTGATTCAGTGCAAATAACAAACTAAGCAAACAACTGGCACAGGAACAGACTCACGGAAGTGGAGGTCACTTGGAGGGCTTTCAGTGGGGAGGGGGAAGAGGGAGACTGGGGGGGAGGTGCAGGGAATAAGAAGCATAGTTGGTGGGCACAAAATAGAGGGAGGTTAAGAACAGGATAGCAAACGTGGAAGCCACAGAACTTCCACGCACGCCCCATGGACATGACCTAAGTGGGGGAGGGGTGGGGGTTGCTGGAGGGGGGGCACCGGGTGGAGGGAGGCAAAGGGGGGAAAACTGGGACACCTGTGATAACACAGTCAGTGACGTGCACTTAACAGACGGACGTCCTTCTCTCCGACCGCGTGCGGAAGGCCCGTGTCCTGGCGCCGCCTGCCCTGAGCGGCGGGGCCGCGGCCGGTGGCGGCCGGTGCTCGGTGACGGGCTCGGGGGATCGGCCAGCGCGGGCTCCTTTGTATTCGTGAAGTTTCTTTGAATAAGTTGAAGAATTCACTTATACTTGGACCGATAAGAGTTTTATAAAAAGCGTTTTAAGACTGACCTGCTCTGTTCCTCGTTATGGGAAAAGGTACCGAATTTACATGCGCGCTTTTCTCTCCCTTTAGGGTATTACAGGTCTCTCTATCTGTTGATCAACAGCAGGCTTCCATCAAGCATTGAGTATTCTGATTTATCTCGAGTTCCCATTGCAAAAGTTTTGCTAGAGAATGTTCTAAAACCATTGCACTTTACATACAACTCCTGTCCAGAAGGTGCAAGGTAAGAATGGCATAATTTTTTTTATTTCATTATTTCCCAAGATCTGTATCTGACAGTAACTTTGACCCAGGATGCTATCTTAAATGATAGGCTTGAACGTCGAGTTTTTACTTTATTAATGTGACTCAGTTTAAAGAAAAATGTACTTTTTCTGTCTGGCCTGTACACTAACATAAATTTATAATTCTGAAGACCTGGCTACTTTCTCCTCTGCGGTGGCTGCGGAAGGTGCAGGGGCGCGGCAGCGGTTCCTTCCGCGTGCGCGGTTCGTTCCGGGGTGGTCTGGCTGATGCTGGATGCTTGGCCTCGAGTCCTTCAGAAGGCCGGTTTGAAAGTTACTTCACTCCCGCATTCTGTGAAAAGCATGCGTTCTCCCTGCCAGGCGGCAAGTGTTCGCGGCCTTCACGGAGGAGTGCTTGGCGGCACCTTTCACGGAGCAGATCTTCCACTTCATCCTTCCCGCGCTGGCTGACGCCCAGGCGGCCTTCCCCTTCGAGCCCTTCCTGGAGGCGCTGCTGTCGGTGGAGAGTGGGGCCGGCGGCAGCGCGCCCTGGCTCCTCTACGTCGTCCTAACCGTCGGTGAAAACCACCTGGGTACGCACGCCAGCTCGGTCTTCCCGAGCCCCGCGCGGGCGGCGCTCAGGTCCGCCGGAGGGGGCTGTGCAGGGCGGGCGTGGCTGGGGAGAGCACCTGGGCTGTGGGCCCCGGGGAGCAGGCTGGCCCCCCGCGGGCGGTGGCTGTCCACCACCCGGGGTGAGGCCGCTCCGCCCCGCGGGGCGGCGTGGAGCAGGAGCACCGGTGCGCGTGCGGGGCGTCTCCCGTTCACGCTGACCCTCAGGTGCCCGAGGACTGTCCGTGGACACGCCTGTGGCCCCCACGCCCACACACGACGGTCGGCGTCTCCGGGGCGCTGGCCGGCAGCCCACGGAGTGTAAGGAAAGCAGCACTGCCTCCCGGGCCCCTTTGGGTCGCCTTTGAGTGAGTGTCGTCCTTGGTGGTCCCGCACAGGTGCCCTCTCTGAGGACGGCCTGCTGCTGTACCTGCGCGTGCTCCAGGCCTTCCTGCCCCAGCTGCCGGTGTCTCCTGCCGGCGCAAGCTGCCAGGACTCAGCCAGCGACTCCGAGGACGACGGCGCAGAGGCCGACCCGCAGAGGGGCGTGCCGGTAAGCTCCCGGGCCGGCCGCGGGCGATGCGGGAGGGCGCTTTCGCCGGGCGGAGCCCCTGACCCCCACGGCCCGCGCCTCCTCCCGGAGGTCCCCGCCACAGTGACAAGTCCACCTGGCATTTACTGAGGCGCACGGCGGTGCTTGGTTTTCATGCAGAATAGGGTCGCGTCGTGTGTCAGTGTGGCCGCGGCTCAGGGAGCGTTTCCTAGACGTGCGGCGGCCGTTCCAGCGGGCGGCCCGCGTCTGTGGGTGGGAGAGCCTCCAGTGGCCACCTGGGTTGCGCTGTACCCACCCTGCACCCCGCCCCGTGAAGCGGCGGGGCTCCGTGGTTCCCGCCCGTGTGTGTGCACGCGCGGTCCGCCTCGGAGCGCGTCCTCCCGCCGGGAGGGGCCCGGGCCCCCGGCGCCGCCCCCTCCCTCTTCCCAGCCGCCAGGCGGGGGTCAGGTGCCTTCTCGCCGGCCTGGTGCACACCAGGGGACATCTGTTGGTAGTTTTTGCCAACTTTACAGATGGTAAAACTTACGGTTTATTTTTAAATAATAATGCGTTTGAAGTGCATTGTGACATTTATCTTTCTTTTTTTAAAGATTTTTATTTATTTTTTGGGGGTGAAGGAAGGAGAAAGGGAGAGAAACATCCATGTGTGGTTGCCTCCCGTGCGCCCCCCCCCACTGGGGGCCTGGCCCACAACCCAGGCCGGTGCCCTGACTGGGAATCAAACCTGTGACCCTTTGCTTCACAGGCCAACACTCAATCCACTGAGCCACCCCAGCCGGGGCTCAGATTTTTTTAATTGTTTTTTTTCCATGACCATTTATCCCCTTACAACCCCCTCCCTACTGTGTATTTTCAAGGGACAAAAAGCTGTATGTCACATACACATACATAGTTTGTGTGTCAAGCGATAGGCCTGCTGCCGACCTCTCTCTCTCTTAATTACACAACTGAAATGGCCTCAGGTGCGGCTCTAACCGGTTCTAAATATTTTTGTCAGGTTACTGCAGTCTCATTTCAGGGGGGACGCAGGGGCAAGGGCCCTGGTTTCCCAGGAATTAGTCCTCAGGATGGAGGGGGGCGGGAGAGCGTGGGCGCTGCCCCTCCCGGGTTCAGACAGCTCTTTGTGGGGTGGGTGAGAAAGCGCCTCGGGCTGCGCGGGGCTTCCGGCCGGGAGGGTGCGCTGCCGGGGGGCCTCTGTCCGCACTCAGGACTCTACCCCAAAAAGCAGCTTCACTGTGTGGTCGCAAAAGAATTGGCATCCTGCAGGCAGATGGAGGTAAAACTTTTGTTTTTAGAAGTTTTAGAAGACAGTGTTTTAATACTTGGTGACCTTCTGGAGAATCCATGAAATTACAGGTTTCTTTTAACACACCACGTACTTGGTGTCCACACGAAGAGGAGGCCGTGGGCGGTGCCTCGGTGGAGACCGGGGCGCGCGCCCCCCCCCCCGCCCGACACGGGCGGAACACGGAGGGTGGCACGCAGAGCGGGGGGGCCTGGCCTGTCGCCGGGGCGGCCGGGGCGCCGCCACCGTTCACACGTGCGGGGGCCCGCCCGCGAAGGGGGCGCTCCGGAAGCAGCGGCACACACGCAGCTCTGACGGTTTCCACTGGGTGCGTCTCATGGGACGAATCCAGTTTGCCAGACAGAACGTACTGCTTTCATCTCTAAGACAATGTTTTATTTGGTCGGGTGTTATAAGTTACATAAATTATATCCATCCCAGTGTTCAAACAGCATAGTCAACAATATCCAGTGTTCCATGTATGTATGTATAGCTATTTTCATGTATATACATATGTGAAAGTATGTATGTTTTTGATTGATACCCCACATGACTCAACTATGTAGAGCGTTAGCTCAGGTGTTATTCAGTGAATCATCTAGAGAAATTAAGACATAAAATAACAGGTTTGTGTATTTCATTTGCTTTTAAGTGTTCTTTAATATTCTACTTCGCTTAAACTGATCGCTCAGATAATTTACAGTGGAAACGCTGCCGACGATGGTGTATGTTTGCAGACGTATGCTCAGTGCAGTGCAGCCTGAAAATAGGAAATGAGTTTCTCTCCAGCTGTAAACCCTGGAGACGCTGTCCCCCCAGCAGGCAGGGTGGGCGTGTGCAACCCCCGCGCGGCCACGCTGCGCAGACACGCCGCCACACCCGGTTTCAGAAGACTTTGGGGGCGCATCACAGGGATGGGGGGGTAGATAAGGCCTGCCCTGCGTTTTGACCTGAAGAAAAACGGGTTCCTGTGTGTACCACGGGGGTAGGTCCCACAGAGCATGGCTGACGTGCAGGGCCCGCCGATGTGTTTCAGGCGGACGGACGACTGTCGCTGCCGTACATCACGGAGGAGTGTCTGAAGCGCCTGGACACGAAGCAGCAGACGAACACCCTGCTCAGCCTGGTGTGGCGGGACTCGGCGAGTGAGGAGGCCTTCACGCGGATGGCCTGCATCTGCCACACGCTCCTGGTGCAGCAGCGCCTGGCGGTGCCCCGAGTCAGGCAGGTGCCCGCGCCCCGCCCCGCCCGCCCCCCGCCTGTGCTTTGCGCTCAGCCTGCGTGGGGCCGCCGCTGTCCTCAGTAGGACCCGACGTGGGGCTGCTTCTGCCCGAGTGTTTCACAAGAAACAAAAGGCGGGCTTCCTCCCAACCCAGTGAGCCCTGTTGGAGCCCCCACCTGGCTGGCGAGGCTGCAGTGCCCGGGAACGTGGGCACAGACGGAGCCGGTCGGCCTCTGCCGAGGCTCCCGCGTGAAGGGGCCGGGCCCCAGCCGCCTGTCCCGGAAGTCGGGCCAGGCCCACGGTGGGAGAGCCGACGGTGACGCGCCGTTCTGGGCGTCTGCACGCTGCTCTCTCGCCAGCTTGCCGGGACCGCTTCCTCTGGCTCTCCCATGTTTTTGGATTTCAAAACTTGGAAATAATGTTTAAGAGCAACAAAACAAGCAAGTTAGAATGGGTGATTTGTGCTTAGATAACTGAGATGTAATCTTGAGCTGTATTTTTCTCTAATGTTAAGTGATAGTTTAGCAATTTGTAAGAATCTAACAGAAAACCGTGTAATGGAGCACAGCGCAGAATGGCCGGCAGGTCTTCCGGGGACCAGGGCCCAGGTCCAGGGGCCGCGGGGCAGCTCTGGCGGTGGCAGCCCCTGCTCTGAGCCGGTGACCGGCGCCACTTCGGGACACTGCTCGCCCACGGCGGGATGGGGGCTGCGCTGTGGTCAGGGAAGCCTCCCCTGAAGGGGACCACGGGGGACGGCGGCGGCAGAAACAGCCCTGTCGCGGGAGCGCGGCCCTTCCGCGGCACGGGTCGGGCGCCGGGCGGAGAGCTCTCCGGCCCGCTGCAGGGGGGCAGGCGGGGCGCCCGGGCACCCAGTCCCCGTTGCGGGCTGTCACTGCCCGCACCAGGCTCCCGGGCACGGCGTCCCCTGAGGCCTGGTCCTGGGGCGTGGCGCCTGCTCCCTTGGAGGCGCTGCTCCCGGAGCCTTAAGGTGTAGCCATGTTAGGTTTCAAGCGTCTCGAGCATTTTTTCATCGCTCATGAAATGGCAGATAGGCCTACATTAAGGGTTGTAGGTTTCTAACTGCTTTCAAGTCTTTTAAAAAGGTGTTTGAAACAGGTGCTCTCCAGTCCGCGGAGGCTTGCTCAGCGTCTCGTTTCCAGGCAGGGCCGTGCGGTTTTGATCTCTGTTTAGCATTGATTGTCAGGCTGCGTGAAGGAACGCAGAGCGATTTCTGAGGTGCCCGTTTAAGTAAAATGAGGAAGATGGAGAACAACGTGAATAATAACCCCTTCCTGTGTCGGAAAAGTAAGAGTGGGTATCGGTTCTGCTCTGTAGCTTCCTTTTCTCACTTAAACACCTGTCTGCAGAGACGCCCCCCAGGCCATCCGCAGCCGCGGCCCCGGCGGCCCCTCTCTTGGACGCCTGGCACCTGCCCCTCCGCTGCGGTGACCCTGCCTTGACTCTGGGCGTCTCCTCCTTGGCTTCCTCCGCGGGTCTCCTCTGTCCTGTCTCACTGTGCCCTCGGCTTGCGGGACTTCTTTTTCTGTTAACCTTCTAGTCCTGCCCACGCAGCGGACTCCCGGGCGACCCCTCTCTGGAGCCCCGGACTCCTGCTCGGCGGGCGCAGGGCCCCTCCCCAGGCCCTGCTCCGGGTCCCGCTGGGCCGCCTTGTAGGGAGCCACCAGCAAAGCAGGGCTGCCGCGCCTCGGCCGCGGGACAGTGCACACCTGCTCCTCGGTCACGCTCGCCACGTCACACACGCCCAGCAGCCCCTGAGCCGGTGACCTCGGCCGCTGTCGTCCCACAGAGAGCCCTGCGAGCGCGACCGGGCCTTCGGCTGCGGGGCGGCCTCCCCCGCGAGGGTGCGACGGCCCGCGTCGCGGTTTGCCAGGCGGAAGTGTCACCGCATGCCCAGCCCCGGTCGTGCCCCGCTCCTGCTTAAGCATTGCCAGGCGCCCCGTTGGCATTCGCGGGCCTCGGCCCCGCGGTCCCCGCTCCTCCCGGATCCCGGGGGCTGCCCCTCCGCCCTCCCCCTGCGCACGGCGGCTGTCTCCGTCTGGAAGTCCGTGCTGCGGTGGCACTGCCAGAGGCCTCCCTGTAGGAGCCTGTAGGCTGAGGTCCCCGCTCGCTCCACCGCAGTGACGCGGCCTTGAGGTGGGGGAGAGGTTCGCACTGAAGGCCCCGGGTGGGCGGGCCTGCTGTTTGAGACTTGGCTCTTTGCTCTGCTATCCAACAACCAGCAACAGACCCTGAAAGGTGGTGGTTCAGGGATCGGAGGGGTGGCCATCACCATTTGCCCAGTTTTCACCGTTACCACAGCACATGCTGACTTTCCTCCCGAGATGGAGCGGCCGTTCGTCCGTCGCTGGAGTGGGGCCGGTGCGCGCCCCCCGCCCTCCTCTCAGCCCTGGAGACGTGCTCCTGGCCCTCGACCTGCATGTTCACGTCTGCAGGCCTTTGGGGCGGGAGGGTCATGCAGGGGACCCCACAAAGGCAAACGCAGGGTGGTGCAGAGTTGTGGTCCGCTGTTCATGTTTTTATAAACAAATTTTTATAGTATTTTAGAAAAATACTGGAGAGGTGCCTACAGGTAGAACCGTTGGGATTTTTGCCTGTGATTTTATGTTTGCTTTCATTATCGGTGATGGTTTTGGTATGATCAGTACATTTAAAGGGCTGCTGATTCCGGTTATAATTTGCATTCTGTTGCCCTGGTCAGGGCGGCTCAGTTGCTTGCAGCATCGTCCCGTTAACCGAATGGTTGCGGGTTTGATCCCCAGGCAGGGCACATGCCTGGCTTTCGGGTTTGGTCCCTGGTTGGGGCGTGTGTGGGAGGCAACTGGTTGATCCTTCTCTCTCACACTGATGTTTTTTCCCCCCTCATCTTCTTTCTCTAAAGTGCCACGAAAAAATGTCGAGTGAGAATAAAAAAAATATTTTTAAACATTTGTGCACACAGCGGGGTTACTGTGGAGTCTGCTTGGAAGTCAGTGCAGAGGATGAGCCGGCACAGCTGGCACGGTCGCCGGGGCGCATCCTGCCTGTGGAGCCGGGGCTGTGCCCGTCCCACTCAGCACCGTCCCTGGTAGTGGGTGTCAGACTTCCAAGAACTTTCTAAATGTGGGTGAACGGTTGTTTCCTAGGGAAAGCACAGGAACCTGGAAGAGGCCTATGTGAAGGCTGCTGAAAGCTTTTGTACTTGGTGTGTTCGAAAAATAGTGTTAAGAACTAGTGGGGGAAGGGGACCCGGGGAGCCCCCGGTGGCGAGGTTGCTTGCCCGTCGGCTGCCTCGGCAGCCCGGCGGAGGCCCGTCGTGGAGGGGGCTCCGTGGTGGCGTGGGCGGGGGGCACCCCCCAGCATGCCTTGTGGGGCCCGCCTGGGCGGCCTGTGGTGGGAGAGCTCGTGCCTCCGCTGCTTCCCTTCTGCCCCCCGGGGCCCCGCAGGCTGCAGCCCTGGCCCCCTGCCCACGCCGGTTCGCTCCCAGGGCGTCTGCACCACGCAACGCGCAGGCGTCACTTTTCACGTGTCCCGGTAATTCATGTGCAGGGTCAGTAGTTTGTTGGGTTGTCTGTTTGGGGACTAACTCAGGAGACACAGCTGTTTTGATGTGGCCTTTCAGGTGCGTGTGGGGAGGTGCCAGTGGTCCTTTTTGTAAGTAAACGTGTCCCGAGAGGCTGTGTGAGGAGAGCGCTTTGTTCCCACCTGTCCGCGGAGTGTCCGTGTGACGGGTTCGTACCAGGGTGCTAACGCGGGTTCTTTCTGGGGAAGTGGGAGACCTTGCTCATTTTCTGTTGCCTCATTGTGTTGGTAAAGAAAAAGAAAGGAAGCAGACCGTTTGAAAACTTGTGGTTTTTTGCATTTTTGAGTGCTAGATTTACTATTTATATTTAACACAATTTTAAGAAATCTTGGTATCAGTAAAATTATGCTAGATAATATATTTAAGAGAACTTTTTCTCAACTGAAGAGAAATAAGGCAAGGAAATACTACTTTCTAGAATTCTCTTGGGTTGAAAGTTCGTATTTTCCATGCATATTTTCTCATCCTGTCTCTTGCGTAGTTGTCTGTCCCCCTCTTCGATGGAAAACCCTGGAAGGGCAGGGAACCCCAGCTGGAGCCCAGCTGCGTGCAGGCCGCCTACCCAGGTGGGCTCGGCCCCCGAGGGGCCTTGGGCGGGGTTTGCCGGCCGCTCACCACAGGGCCCCGGGCTTCTGTAACTTACCTGTGTCGTTTATTATTTCTTTTCATTATTGGATTGAATTTAAGAAATTTTTTCAACCTAATTTTGAGACTCGCCCAGCTGGTGCTCCTGTGGGCTTTGTAGCGTTGTTACCCCTTTGTCATGGTGTGTACTTGCGACAGACACACCCACTCTTTGGAATTGCCCATCACATGTTTGAGCTGGGAAAGACCTTAGAATTAAAGTTCGTGTTCTCTTGGAAACATTGCCACATGGCGTCTGGGCAGCGGTGAGGCTGCGGGGCCTGGCAGAGTCTGCCTAGCCTAAGATTTCTTCAGCGTGAGAGCGGACCCCCCACACCCCGCTCCCCTCCCCCGAGCCTCGTCCGCCGCCACTCGGTCCCACGCGGGGCTCCTGTGCTTCTGCGGTGGTCCCCGCCGGCCTCGTTTCTGACTGTGACATCATTATTGCAGAGTGTGTCCTGCTTCAAAAGCGTGGGGCGGGGCAGAGTCGCTGACAGATGAGCCACTAATGTGGTTCCTTCGTTCTTAAATGAAATTGATGTTACACAGAAGCGTTTTTAATCTTTAAAAAATTTGTTTAGATTTAAATTACGTTGTAGATTTTGGTTAACATTTAAAGTAAAGATATTATTATGTGCTTGTTTCAAGAATTGTGACTTCAATTGCTAAATTCAAGTTTTTAAAGTGTATTATTAGTGATAACGCTAGTAACATACGACGCCGTAGCATGTGTGCTTATATATTGCAACACACCCTCAGGGGAGCACGCTCTGCTGTGAGCCCCGGGCGCCCGGCTGCGCAGCACCCGCGGCTCGTCGCTTTTGCGAGGAACTGTGTTGAAAGAGCATTTGCTGACTCTTCTCTCCCCTTCCTTTTTAGGCTTCTCTACAGCTTAGCCTTTAATGCCAGGTTTCTGAGGCACCTTTGGGTTCTCATATCTTCAATGACAACACGGATGATCACAGGGTATGTGGTGCACATGGACTTATAAATTGAGCTTAAGGACGTGGGACGTGGCGGCCTCTTTAAAAATACTGCAAGGTATTCTTCAGCACTGCTTCTCTCTGGCTTATTTCCTGTTAGACGTTAAGTTTTAGACGGCCTCACTGTCACAAACAGAAAAAACCCGTGCCGGTTTTACAGTTGTCTGTCTGTCTGCAACGTGAGGGGTGCGGCTGCACCGGAGGGTGAACCTGTTTTAAAAATTCTAGTCTCTTGGAAACGACAGACCCGAAACTTTCTTTGCTCCATAGCACTTTCCTGTGCTTTTGATAATGAAAATACAAATTTGAAGCAAATGTAGCACTTTACACAAACACAAAAAGATGTGAAATTTGGTAGAAGTTGGTTTTTTAAAACTTCATGTTTTAAAAATGTTGAAATAATTTGGTATTTCTTACCTGAACCGAGAACCTTCACTACACGCGTTGAAGTGAAGAAGCAGAGAACTGAATACTCGTGGCGAACTGCCCTCTTGCCGTTACCATGGTGGATGCCCCCCTCAGGGGTCTAGCTGACCCCTCGCTGTCAGTCAGAACAGTGACGCGTGTAACTCCGCTCCCTGGGGACTGACGCTCGCAGCGGAGCTGCGTGCGACCCTCGAGTGCGGACGGGGCAGCGCCGTGCGGTGAGGGGCCGCTCGCGGGGAGCCCGCCCCGCTCTCGGGCAAGACTTGGGAGGAAGAGTTTCTTTTCATTTTGGGCTTTTTTCCTTTTGGAGGCAGGGGACAAGGAGTTGAAGGAAGGCATTTTTGGTGGGTGAGGGTGGGGTGTCCAAAACCCCAGCGTGCAGGCGTGTGCGGCGTGAGTGGGCGCGCAGCGCCGTTGGCGGTTGGCGGTGCGGCGAGTCCAGGCGCCCCGCGCTTCCCGGCAGCGCGTGCAGATGGCGGAGGCCCGTGTCTGGGCCTGAGCGCGTGGGCGGCCAGCCCTGCGGAGGCTCTGGGTCCCGGCCCCCGTGCGGGCCGCTCTCGGGGACCGGGGTCTGCTGGTAACGGGGCTCGGCGGTAAGGTCCTGGGTGGGCCAGAAAGCCCCTCTCAGGTCTCCCCCCTGTGGCTCTAGGGGCTGGCTCGGGGGCTCTAACTGCACTCTAAGCCATCTCGTTCGGTCGTGCGGTCGCAGCTGTCGTATCCGCGTGCACTGAGAAAAATCAAAATTGGTGATTTTTTGTGCAGCCATCTTAATAGTGAAGATGGAAGAAGATACGTAACATTTTCGGTGTACTATGCCTTATTATTTCAAGAAAGGTAAAAACGCTACTGAATCACAAAAAAAGATCTGTGCTGTGTACGGGGACGTGGAACGTGTCAGAAGTGGTTTGCGAAGTTTTTGGTCCTGTTGCCATTTTGGCCAAATAACTCTGCTGTGGGGCTGCCTTCTGCACGGGAAGGTGTTGAGCAGCGCCCTGGCCTCCCCACTGGAAGACAGCGGTGCACTCACAGCGTCCACATCGACACAGCTGCTGGTGAACGTGAAAAACAGGTCTCTTATTTTACGGGAAAAGCTTTTTGGCCGGCCCAGTCCTTCCATGCTGTTTTCCATTTACTTTCCCTGCATCTTGCGGGAGGAAAGGAGGCCCCGGTGGCCCCACTGCAGCGTCGGGGGCTGGCCTGCGGTCAGCGCGAGGCACAGAGGCCAAGGGGAGGGGGACCCGGACGTCTCCCTGTGCTTCTCGTTTTCAAGCCAAGTGGGAGGCGTTAGGGTTGCTTCGTTTTGCCTTTGGTGTCTCTCCGCTGCTGAGGCCTCCGCCGCCTGGGCTCTCCCGGGTGGCGGTTTGCAGGAGACAGTGGAAGGCGGGCTCCTCGGGGCAGGAAGTTGCCGCGGGCCCAGGCATGTCTCCGCCTGGCAACGGAGGCCACCACCTGTTTGTCCGGATGACCGCCCCATGCTGGGGACGGGGGTCCCGGTGCGGGAGAGACAGAGGAGGGCTTACACTCCTTTTTCAAAAACTCACTTTTTCAAAAGCCAGTATGAGAACTTGAGTTTCTTTTTATTTGTTTAATTTATTAAAATGAAGTCCCTCAGAAAACTTGGAGTGTATTAATCCTGATATTTAAATCTTATATTTACCATTGGGATAAAATGCGCGATTTTTCTGATCAGCACGGAGTCGGGCTGGAAAAGGAGCACCGCTGGGGCCTCTGAGCTGGGTGAGCGGGAGCCTCTGAGTCACCGGCCTGGGCCTGCGGGGGCCGGGGGCCGGGGCGGGGCCTGCGGGCTGCCTGGTGGCGGGGCTGCAGGGGACGGCCCAGGAGCACAGGCCAGCCGGGCCTTGCTTCCATGGGGCGCCCTCCGGGGGGCCTCTGCTCGAGAGGCCAGCGGCACGGTCCTCCGGGCCCGAGGCCGGCCGGGCGCCTTGCTGGGCTCAGCCCGGCGGGGCGGCTGCCGTCGCATGTTGCCCACTGCTTTCCCCGCGGTCGCCAGTGGTGGGGGGACTCGGAGCGGCCTGCCCGGGAAGTGCTCTCGGAACTCCTCTGAGGCAGGAGCGCATCCCTAGGCCTTCCCGTGGGGGTGGGGGAGTGGGAGCCTGGCCACGCAGGGCTGCCACGCTCACGCAGGGGGCGCGGGCAGGCCGGGCCAGGGGGACGGCGCGGGGGGGGGCGGAGGCCTCGCTGACGCCCCTCGTTGGCCACCCCGTCGCTGCCGCTCAGTGCCTCCCGCTGCAGCGCGGTCCAAGCCGGCGCCGGCCCCGCGGGGACCTGTGGGCCCGGCCTGCTTGTAGCAGCTGTTTGCACCGGTGTTCATGGCAGAGAACCATGGCAGAGAACCGGGAGCTGTTTCAAACGCGTCCCGGCTGCCGGGAGGCACCGGCGCCCTCTGACCCCTCTCGCCAGTCACAGCTTCTGTCCTTGGAACGAAAACGATTCATTTCTGCGCTTGCCTCACGGGGAGTCACAGAGGACAGAGGAGCGGGAAGATTGCCCGTGTTTTTCTGGGGCACCAGCGTGAGAATGTCACATGTGTGGCCGATGTGTGGGCGGCTCCTGGGGCCGGGGGCGGGGGCGGGGGGTGGCGGCGGCGGCGGTGGCTTTGAGGGCAAGGGTTCCTGGCTGTGGTGACCGCTGAAAGCATGTGTGTCACTTTTTTTAATTCAGGAATTTTTTAAAAAATTTCCACCCAAAGACATGCTTACTTACTTTAGAGGGAGGGAAGTGGGGGGAGAGAAACGTCGATGTGAGAGGGAAACATGGATCGGTTGCCTCTCGCAGGCGCCCCGACTGGAGACTGAGCCCCACCCAGGCCTGTGCCCCGGAGGGAACGGAACCGCGGCCGTTCGGTGCGCGCAGCACCACACTCCACCGCGGAGCCCCCGCCCCCGCCAGGGCTCAGGGGGTGTCTTTTACTTTGTGTCCAGCTGGCTCGGCCTGTACCACGTTCCCTTAAGTGTCATTTGTTCATCCGTCTTATCAATTATTTTTGTAGTTCCGCATTTAGTGGCAAAGCAACTAAAAGATACAAACCATTATTTTTACTAATATCAACAAAACACATGGCATTTTCGCTTCCATGTGTCGGCGTCACGTGGCTGGGTGGCCGAGCGGGCGTGGCGGGGACTGGCTTGGGAGGCAGTCCTGGCCCCGTCCCTGCCCGCCCGTCCTCCTGCCCACGCACAGCCTCCTCCTGCCCCCTGGCTTTGTCCGTGAGGTGGGATGGTTGTCTGTCCCTTCTAACATCCTCGGTGTGTCTCTGTTTTGGACCAGCCCCTGGTGTGTGACGTCGGTGCGTGCCGGGCTCAGCGCTCTGACCGCATGTGGAGTGGGGCGTGTGCGGGGCAGGTGAGGGCCGGGGCGCCGCTCCTGGGAGCAGCGCCCATCTGGGTCCCTGTGCCCAGCCCTGCTGACGGCGGTGCTGCCCCCTGAGCTGGGCTCCACAGGGACCCTGAGGCTCCAGGGCTGCAGCCCAGCCCCTCCAGCTCCCGGGGAGTAGCTCGCCACCCGCCAGGCCTTGCCTCCTGCCCGTCCTCGCGCTGAAGGGCGGGTGGCCGGCTGGTAGCGTCCTGACTCCTGGCCGCGCCTCATCTAACGCGCGCCTGCCCGTGGGTTGCGGAGACAGGTGTTCGTGGGGCCCACGGGACGGGCTGGACGTGCTGCCGGGCCCACGGGCCTTAGTGCTGAAAGAGCTGGCGGGGAACCTGTGGTAGCGAAAAGGCGGTAACACGCGGGACCACATTAAACCCCGAGAGAAAGGGACTGGGCTGGAGGCGCGAGAAGGGAGTGTAACACACACCGGCTCGTGCGAGGCGAGCCGACCCCGGGGCACGCTCAGGGCCCCCTCACTGGAGGCTGCTCCGCCGGGGCGGTGCGTGGCTCCTTGCACAGGCAGGCGCAATGGCAGCGCCGGGTGTGAGCCAGGAGCACGGAGGCCGGGTGCCCCGGCTGCAGCCCGGGTCCGTGGGCACTGCTGGAATGTTCCTGAATGCGGAGCAGCTGGTGAACTTCTCACGGGGCCGGAGCACTCAGCCTCTGTCAAACCAGAGAGGGGGTTTCACCACGGAAGCAAAGTGTGCGCCCGCGACAGGCGGGATGGACGCCCTGTCCTCTGAGGGCCGTCCTCGGGCCGGGCACACTCCGCACCGGCCAGGGCGGTGGAGAAGAGAGGTGGGCTGCCCCCGGTTTCTCGTGTGTTCTGCGCCGCCCCTTGGAGCAGATGCCGTGCTCCGTAAGTGCTCGTTCCCCGAGCCCGTCCGCCTGATGCCCTGTCTCCTGTCCCCCGCGCCCAGGTCTGCGGTGCCGCTGCTCCAGGTGGTCTGCAGGGGCTCGCCCCTGTCCCCCGAAGACTCCGGGCGCATCATTCCGCTCTTCTACCTGTTCAGCTCCTTGTTCAGCCACTCGCTGATTTCCATCCACGACAACGAGTTCTTTGGCGACCCCATAGAAGGTGAGGCTTCCGGGGAGCCCTCTGTGGTGGGCCCCTCGACTTGCCCGTCCGTAGGCGCGAGGGCCCCGCGCGCGGACGAGCCCTGGGGGGGCCGTGACGGGGCCGGCTTGTTTTTCAGGGGCCGGGCACAGGCCGTCCTCCCTGATGCCGTTCACCCTGGAGGAGCTGGTGGCGCTGTCCCGGAGCCTGCGGGACGCCTGCCTGGGCATCATCAAGCTGGCCTACCCGGAGGCGAGGCCGGAGGTGCGGGAGCAGTACGTGTCCGCGCTCCAGAGCGTCGGGGCGGCCACACGCGCCGGGCTGCAGCAGTGCGTGCAGACGGAGCGGGAGCGGTGGATCCAGCTGTTCAAGGTGGGGCCGCGGGGCCTTCCCGCAGAGCTGGCCAGCTCAGAGCGGTCGTTGCACGTTCGCTGTTGTTTCTTTTTCTTCTTTTTTCATTTTAGATGTCAGTTATGGGGTTTTTAACTTTTTTAAAAATCCAATTTCTTGTGGTGACATTGCTTACTAAGGTTATACGGGTTTCCAGTGTCCGTTCCTGCGACGCTTGAGCCGTGCGCTGCGTGCGCTCACCACGCAGGGCCGGGCCGCCTTCTGTCACCGCCTGTGTCTCCCTTCGCCCTTTTATGCCCCCAGCATGGACTTCTTTGAAAATCCCGTTTTTGCTTGTTAGACGCGTCTGTTATCAGTTGCCCTGGGTATTTCAGTGACAAGGTGAAGCGCAAATAAAATTTTTAATGTTTATGTTTTTATTTTCCACTGAAAGACCTCTTACAGATTTTCTCTCTGTAGTCTTACAAGACATTGAGGGAATAAGGTCATTGATTTAATGAAAGCGGAACATAAATTACTTGGAAAGACCCTCTCCTGTAGCCCCGCCGAAAGAGCGGCCGGCGCTGCCAGGGCCGCAGCGTGGGCAGGAGCCACCGGGGGAGGCCGGCGCCCGGGGGAGAGAAGAAGAAACAGGAAAGGGCGCTTGACTTGCCATGAAATTTCCGCGGCAAACACATCGCGTCAGCGAAACCCGCTCATTAAAGGCTGAGAGCAGAAGAAATGCATTTTCCAAATTGAGCGCTAGATTTACAGTCCAGTTAGGACGGGCGACCTCCGCGCACTAATGTTCGGTGCGAGTCGTCAGCTGTCCCTTCAGGTCTTTTATCACTGCTGTTGTCAAGCTATCTATTTAATTGAAAGAAGTTAATTGAATGAAAATGATCAACTAAGCTTGTATTAATATTGCTAATGGAACTCTCTCCTTGGCCATGTTTGGAGAGAGATGTCAAGCGAGACTTTAGGGAAGGACCATTAACGCCCGCACTTAACCCGACAGGCTAATTAAGGGCTGCTCGCTCCTCCGGCGGCCGCGCGGCCCCGGGCGGCCTGTCCCGCTAGCGCAGCCGCGTCTCGCTGGTGAGCGCGGCATCAGGAGCCGCGGGAGCAGCTGATAATGTTTTGATTGCACAGAACACAGTCCTAATGCATCATTGACTTTATAATTTGTGCAGATTGATGTAATATATGTTTGCACAATTTATTTTAATCACCTATCTCTAGATTCCTAAGTAAATTTTGGAGGCTATGTGTTAAGCCCTTAATATATCCTTCCTTCCTTTTTTTTTTTAACTACTTATTTATTTATTTTTAGAGCGAGGGGAAGGGAGAGAGAAAGAGAGGGAGAGACATCCCTGTGTGGGTGCCCCCTGCGCACCCCCTGCTGGGGCCTGGCCCGCAGCCCAGGCCTGCGCCCTGAGGGGACTCGAACCCCACGCCCCTTTCAGCGCGCAGTCTATTGAGCCACACCTGCCAGGGCTGTACCCTTCCTTAAAGATTGACAATTCTGCAACTTTTCTAAATTAAAAATAAACTATCAGTGCATTTAAAACCTGTAATTCTTATGTAAACTTCCCTGGATATGCATATTATGGTAGCATATGAGTTTTTCTCTAAGTAATTAAACTCTGGGATCTTTGTTAATAAAGCTTTTCATTATGTAGATAACCGGTACTGTGTACAGTATCAGATAATTTCATCATTTTATAGCACCTGTTGAGAATTTAATAATTTTCATATCATAGGCTTATCTTTTGGACCTAGAAACCTCTGGATCTAATAATGCTATAGATTTCTCCCTGGCCCTGTTTTATTTTGCTTAAGCATTAAATGGAAATTGTGTAATGAATTTGTTCCGTATTCCTCAAAATGACTCATTACCACTTTGTAGAGATTGAGGGTTTTGAGAATTACGATGAGAGTTCACTTTTTTGGTAAAGGAATAATTTAGGTTAGAACTTGAGTTGTTAGCAAGACCTTCTGAGTTAAGAACAGAATTGTTTAAAGACAGTTTTTCAAATAGGATTTCTGTCCTTGGGGAAAAATCACGTGCACCATCTGTGCACTGAGCGGGGCCTCGCCTGCGGGTGGGAAGGGCGCGGCCGCACGCAGCCCCTTCCCAGGACAGGCGGCCCCCGCGGGGCCTGCATCCCCGCGGCGTCGGGAGGGCTTGGTCTGCGCAGACGCGCGAGCGCCGTGACTCTCCCCTGCTGCCAGGAGGGCGCCTGGGGGGGGGGGGGGGGGGGAGAGCCAGAGCGCAGGCCAGCGTTTTGTGAGTGTTCTGTAGATGAGGCCGTCACAGCTGCCGTTCTTTTCCTCCCCGACCGCCCTCTGCCCTGCATCCCCCTCCCCCCAGCACCTCCCCCGCCTTTACTTCACGTCCAGGGGTCGTGCATGTAAGTCCTTTGGCGTCTCCATTTCCCACGCTGTTCTTAACCTCCCCCTGGCTGTTCATTACCTACCAATTATGCTGCTTAGTCCCTGCGCCGACCCCCCAGTCTCCTCCTTCCCCCTCCCCACCGATAACCCTCCGTGTGACCTCCATTTCTGTGATTCTGTTCCTGTTCTGCTTGTTTGCTTCGTTTGTTTTGGGTTTTTGTTTATGTTCAGTTGTTGAGAGTTAGGAGTGTGTAGTCATTTTCCTGCTCATGGTGTTTATCTGTGGCTGCTTCTTAGATAAGTCCCTTTCACATTGTGTGCAGGAAGGGCTTGGTGATGATGGACTCCTTTAACTTTGCCTTGAATGGGAAGCACGTTCTCTGCCCTTCCGTTCTCAACGGTAGCTTTGCTGGGTGGAGGGATCTCGGTTCCAGGCCCTTGCTTTTCATCACTTTGAACAGTCTTTCCAGCCCCCTTCTGACCTTCAGGGTTGCTTTTGAGAAATCAGCTGATAATCCTATGGGAGCTCCTTTGGAGGGAACTCTCTGCTTTTCTCTTGCTGCTTTTAAGATTCTGTCTTTATCTTTAACCTTTGGCATTTTAACTATGGTGTGTCTTGGCCTGGGCCTCTTTGGGTCCCACTTGTTTGGGACTTTCTGTGCTTCCTGGACGTGTCTGTGTATTTTCTTCACCAAATTAGGGACGTTTTCTTTCATTCTTTTTTCCAGTAAGTTTTCAGTTTCTTGCTCTTCCTCTTCTCCTCCTGGCGCCCCCGTGATTCGGATGTTGGGACGTTTGGAGATGCCCCAGAGGCCCCTCGTTCTTTTGAATTTGTTTCTTCATCCTGTTCTGGTCAAATGTGTATTTCTTCCTGATGTTCCAAATCGCTGATTTCTTGAACCCCAGTTCCTTCCCTTCACTGTTGGTTGCTTTTGGATTTTTCTTTGTTGTTTCACTTAGTGTGGCCTTCATTTCTTCCCTTATGCTGTTGCCATCCTCCACGAGTTCCTGGAGTGTCCTGATCACCAGTGTTTTGAACTCTGCCTTTGACAGGTGGGCTCCCTCTGTTTCGTTTTACTCTTTTTCTGGGGTTTTGTTCTGTTCTTTCACGTGGGCCCTATTCCTTCGTCTCTTCAGTTTGGCAGCCCCTGTGGGTGTTTCCGTGTATCCGGTGGAGCTGCTGTGACCTCTCTCCTGGCGCACCTGTTGTGTTGTATGGGCAGAACCCTGGGTATTTGCCAGGACCGTGCTGCCCGCCTTACCAGCGTTGTGTCTCGGGGCGGGCAGGGCCGCTGCCTGGCCTCTGGAGGCTTGTCCAGCCCTTGCCCCGCTTCCGGGCCCCCCCCCACTTCCATGGGTGACCAGCGCCCTTGTGGCCGTGGCCCTGGCAGTGCTTCCGGAGTGGGTGGGTTGTGTGTGTGCTAGGGCCGTGCGGGCCCTCTCGGTGGGCTCTCCTGAGAGACCGGCAGTCCCTTCCGCTGCGCCGGCCCCCGCTGATCCTCTTAGCCGGAAGTTACAGGGCGTCCTCTGCCCAGGGCCGGAGCCCTGGGCTGCGCGGTCTGGCCTGGGGCTGGGAGCGCCCGCTCCCCAGGAGGCCCTCCCGGGGTCTGTCCACCACGCACGAGCGTGGGACCACCCACCCTGCCTGCCACGGGCCGCTGCGCCCTCCGCTCCGGCTCCGCATCTCTGCCCTGTCTGGGTGCGTGTGGCATCTTTAAAGGCCTTGGTGGTCAGACTTCCATAGTTCAGTCTTCTGGCAGTTCTGGGTGTTTCTGTTTTGAGGTTACTTGTGATCCTTCTTATGGTTGTGCAAGGAGGCAAAGCATGTCTGCCTGGGCCCCCTTCTTGGCTGGAAGCCTGTCAGCGTCTGTTGTATAGAGCAGCGCCGACCTAGAGTTGAAGGATTCAGGGTAGAGCCCACCAGGAAGGTGAACGTGTCCTGGCAGCGACTCCGGCCTTCCATCCGCTTGGCAGGGCTGCAGTGGTAGGACCTGGCTCCCTGGACGGCTGGCCAGTCTCGTTTCCAGCCCCATGCTGGTTCTCTCAAGCCGATTTCTGGGACAGGCTGTTGGCTGGTCATAGAATAGAATTTTAAGTGGAGAGAGTCATCTTTCTTTGTCACTGTGGGAATTGAGGTCAGTTTCTAAGGCGCGCGTGCGTTGATGCTGCTGAAACAGTTTCTGCATTGATCAAATTTATAAACACCTGGCGTTTGTGATCTGTAGGTCTGATTGCTTCAGCCCATGTGTGCTCCTGGGACACGCATGTGCGGCTCCCCCACGGGAGGAGCATGTGGGGTGGGCCGGGCTCGGGCCCTGCCCCCAACACCTGTCTGGACAAAGAGGGCAGAGTGTGAGGGGTGTCACTGTTTTGGCGGCTGATTTGTGTTTTTCAGTTTCAAGAAGACTTATTTAAAAATTAAGAGTCAATGCCCTGGCTGGGGTGGCTCAGGGGATGGAGCGCCAGCCTGCGAACCAAAGGGCCGCCGGTTCGGTTCCCGCTCAGGGCACAGGCCTGGGCTGCGGGCCAGGTCCCCAGTGAGGGGCGCGCGAGAGGGAACCACACAGGGATGTTTCTCCCTCTTTTTCTCCCTCCCTTCCTGTCTCTCTAAAAATAAATAAATAAAATCTTTAGAAAAATAAAAAACAAAAATTAAGAATCAGGACAGCAGCAGACTGTAACAGCACCCCAACGGGCCATCAGCCGTCTGTTCCTCGAGGGGCGCAGAGCCGTGGCCTTTGCTGCGGCCGAGGTTGCCCCCTCCTGCCTGTCTTGGAAAGGTTCTGCTTGTGTTGTTTTTTTTGTTTTTTTTTTAAATCCTCGCACAAAGGTATGTTCATTGACTTTAGAGGTAGAGGGGGAGAGAAACATCTATGTGAGAGAGACGCGTCGACCGGGTGCCTCCTGTGTGTCCCCCGACCGGGGATCAAACCCGCAGCTGTTCGGTGCACAGGACGACCCTCCGCCCCACTGAGTTCCCGCCCTGTCCCCGCCCCCCGGCCAGGGCTTGTTTGCTTTGTTTTTGACTATTAAATAAAATGGAAACGTGCTGGAGAGCACTGTTGTCTTCACGGACACACCAGGCTTAGCGAGTGCGAACTGAGGGCCGCACGACCCCGTGGGCCTTCTGCCGGCAGCGACCTCCCCCCCCCCCCCGCGAGACGCTTTAGGACTCACAGGTTGGCGTGTCGTCGCCTTCGTGAGCTGAATCCCCAGGTCGCTGGGCGCTGTGACTGCGTCGCTGGCCTTCAGGGTCCTTGTGCCGTGGACAAGGCTGATGTCCTGCTCCCCGCGGCGAGGGCCGCAGAGCGCAGCGGGGGCCCGCCTGGGAGTGCGTCCGGGAGACGGTGTCCCGGCCGCCGGTTCTGCCCTCGGGACTGGGCCTCCTGGGTTTTCTCCTTTTTCACGTTTATGTGTTCCTCCTTCTGAAATCAAATAAAAATTTCTTATTGGATGTATACTTATCATTAAACAATGACCACATCTGTGTACCCATAAATTATGTGCTGAATCCTATACTTTGTATTGATTTTTTTTCAAGAATTAAGGTGGTTGATTTTACTGACCAGATTTTAGGTGAAAAGAAATTATTACTACATATTACTATGGAATTTAGATTTCCAGTTGCCTTTCAAAGTGTGAACTGCGTGTGCTTTCCAGGTTGTATTACTGTAACTGGATATCAGTGATCTCCATTTAGAAACACACCCTAACATCAGCCCGAAGCCACACGCGCGCGCACACACGTAGCAGGAGACGTGACGCGTGTCGCGCTGGGTCGCGTGGTGACCCTGCGGAGCAGCGCCTGGTGTTCGGCACCTGCAGCCTGGACGGTGCTCGGGTGTGGTTCTCAGGCCGTCGTCCACGCGAGCTGTCACACTGGGGCTGAGGGACACTGTAAATCATCCTGTTAGTTTTTGAGCATCGACTTAATCTGACGTGGCAGAACGTGAAGCACATCGAGGGGACAGGACACATGGAGCGGTCACAGTGCTCTGCTCTCCGCGGAGGCGCTGCGCACGGCACTGGCTCGTTTGCCCGTGGACGCTGGGCGCTCCGCACGCGGGCCCTCAGGCCTCCCTGCTGCCTGGGCCTCCTGGGGACCAGGGGCTGGCTGGCGTCCCCTCAAATGAGTTGGGTCGCAGTCTGTGGCGCTGGCCTTGTGTGGGCATTTACGACGTAGGTCCTGTTTACACCTAGGGTGTACACCTGAGCCTTCTCTTCGGGTAGAACCTTGGTTAGGGGGCCTCCCTGGGCCAGAAAACACGATCACATTCGGGGAGAGAGAACGGTCTCTGGTCTCCGCAGTGGCTCCCTGTGGATCTATTAAAAATCATTTCTTACCTTTCCAGTTTTTCTTAACCTTTCACAGTCTTTAGTAAATGTATGTAATTTTTAATGGTTATCTCCATAAACTGCTTTTATCCTATCAAATATTTGTATAGCAGTTGAGTTTCTAATACTGAAAAGGAATTCAGAGAAAAGGAATGTGTTTAGAAAATAAACCCTGCTAATTTTCATGATTTCTTAAAATTTTTACTCTTTGTCCCGGCTGGGGTGGCTCCATGGACCGAGCGCCGGCCTGTGAACCGAAGGGTCGCCAATTCGGTTCCCAGTCAGGGCGCAGGCCTGGGTTGCGGGCCAGGTTCCCAGCAGGGGGCGCGCGAGAGGCAACCACACAGGGATGTTTCTCTCCCTCTTTTTCTCCCTCCCTTGCCCTCTGTCTAAACATAAATAAATACAATCTCTAAAGAAAGGACCTGCTCTTGTGACATAAGGAGAAATGGGGAGCCTTCCGCGTGCGACCGCGAATGAGCGCCCCTCGCTGCGGCCTGCCTTGCGGGGGTTGGCGGTCAGCCCGTGCGTGTCCCCGTCCGCTGTGCCCTCTCTTGGCAGGTAACGGGCTGCTCCACACGCGCCTTCTGGTCGTCGCAGAGCGAGACCCTCGTGAGCTCACGGGCGGGCCCGGGCCGGAGCGCGAGGGCCAGGGCCCGCGGGGACAAACGCTGCGGCCCTGCTCCCCCTGCAGGTCATCACCACCCTGGTGAAGATGCTGAAGGCCCGGGACACGAGGAGGAGCTTCTGCCCCCCGGACCACTGGCTGTCGGAGCAGGAGGACATCCGAGCAGATAAGGTGGCCCCGGGGGACCCCCGCGCGCCCCGCCGGGCACCGTGCGTCGTCGGCTTTCGCCTTCGGGGCGGGGGGGTGGGTATGGCCTTTATAACTGTTGACTGTGTTACTCATCACGTAACTGAACAGCAACAGGAGGCTTTCAAATGTCAACTCTTAGGTCGCCCGATAGAATCACACACCCTGAGTTTATTAATTTTAATTTTCTCTTTTAACCACAAATTATATTGAACCCTGATGATTCTTTGTTGGGTTTAAAGAAAATTTTGCTTTTATTGGTATTACTAGTATAGATTTAGTACTTAAAAGAAAAGAAGTTTATCCTTGATTTTCTAAAGGAACAAATTTGAATATTACTAATATTTAGACCTAAAGCATAGATTCAGTAGTATGTTTTTCAAAATGAAATAGTGTTAACAAGAGCATCAGATGGTTCCATTTTTGGCAGGAAAGGGCACGGCTGGGCAGCTTCGTCTCTCGCCCTTGGGGTGGAGGCAGGGAAGGGAGGGCGGGAGGTGCAGCGCTGTTACCGAACCGTTAGCGAGGGCAGCGCTTGGGGCGTCCCAGAAGCCTTCCTGTGTGGAGACACCAGGACGGGTCCGGTGCCCACAAACAACGGCAGGGCCCGGGGGGGCCTCTGAGCCCTGTTCCCACAGAGAGGAGCGGCCGGGGGTATGGAGGTCGGTCCTGGGCCTAGGGGGACCCACACAAGACAGGCTGGAGCGCGGTGTCTCTGGCAGGCCGCGCAGCGCTGGGGACGGCGTGAGGGAGCCAGGGGCCTCCTGAGGGGCTCTGGCCGGGTAAAGGCGAATGGGTGCCGTGCGGCAGACACGCTTGGTCTGCGACAAGGAGAAGAGCCCCTGGCCAGTTCGGGATCCAAGGACCAACCCGTCATGTTGAATGTGGTCTGGAAAACGCGCTCGGCGCTCAGCCTGCCTCCCTGTGTGAGCGCGGCCTGGGCCGACCCGGTCGCGGGGGACGCGAGGTCCTGCTTGACGTCGACGCCCCCTTGGCCGGTCAGCCGGACCGACCCTACTGCGGGCTCCGTGAAGGTGACGGGCCAGGCAGCCGCGAGGGCCGTCCACACCGGGGCTGCGGGGCTGCGGGCACGAGGCCCGCAAGGCGGGCGCTGGGCCCGGGCACAGGTCCCTGCTGCTCGCCGGCTGCACACGTGTCCCGTGGCATCGGTGGCCCCGGGCTGGCGCAGGTTCTCGACCTCACCGCTGGCCTGCGGCCACTGCCCACACCTGGCGCTCTTGGCCAGTTTCTCACGGGGCTGGGACGAACCCTGGGTGACCACAGCGTGCAAGGAACGGAGGGGCCGCACCCCTCGAGGGCCCAGCTGGCGGGGTCCCTGGGTGGCGGGGTCCCGGGCCTGGAGCCTCTGCAGCCGCATCACAGCCGCGGGGCGGAGGTGGGCCGGGCCGGCGGGAGCGCCTCGGGGTCGGGGGACTGCCGTCGCAGGGGGAGACTGCAGGAGGCAAACAAACCCATTTTTAGAAAATAGCGAGAAAGTGAATATTTGGTAAGAAACTGCGCTTTTTAAGTGTGACACGTTTGCTTTGTGGAGCCCTCTTCCTCATGACAGCCACCCCGTCCCAACGCCGCACCTCGGCACGTGGGACAGCAGAGGCTCCCTCGGGCTAGACCAGCCACAGGGCGGGCGCGCGCAGGACAGGTCGCCCGGAGAGGGCCCGCTCGCCCAGACAGACGCGCCGTCTCAGCCCTGGGGGCGGGAGCGCAGGCGAGCGGGGCCGGCCCGGGGGCGCACTGAGCGGGGTGCTGGTCCGCAGGTCACCCAGCTGTACGTGCCGGCTGCCAGACACGTGTGGAGGTTCCGGCGGATGGGGCGGATCGGCCCCCTGCAGTCCACCCTGGACGGTGAGCTCGCGCGGCGGCCGGGGCGCGCGTGGGGTGTGCGGGGCGCCGGGGGCCGCCTCGAGCCCCCCCCCCGGGGGCGGGGCCGCGCCTCACGCCGGCTGTGCGCTCTGCGTTGCAGTGGGCGCGGAGCCGCCGCCGCTGTCCGTGTCCGAGGAGCGGCAGCTGGCCGTGCTGACGGAGCTGCCCTTCGTGGTGCCCTTCGAGGAGCGCGTGAAGGTAGGGCCGCGGGCCCGTGGGGGGCCCCGGGGGAGCCGCGGGGCGCGGGGTTCGCGTCGCCGGGCTGCGGCGGTTACCGGCGGCGCCGCGGGGCGCGCTCCGACCCGGCGCCTGCGCGTGAACCGGAAACCCTTCCCTCCCGTCGCAGTCGCTAAACGCCTCTCACGCTGTCGTTTTCCATCGTGGGAGCCGTAAGGTGCTTTTGGTCCAGCAAGTTCTGTCTTTTTTTGGAAGTGCAATTTTTTGAAAAAATGTGCTTCTGTACATTGTATTAAAGATATATGTTACACTTTACTTAAAAAGCTACTTTATAAAAAAAATGGACCGGTATCTTAATTTGTCACGTGGTGGTTTTTGACTCCTGCACAGAACTCTGTTTACATCTCTTGTTTCCACGTGTAATTTAAAGCGTTTGCGTGTGTGCACCCAGGTCGCCGGTTTCCTCGCCTGCCCCCTCCGCAGGGGAGCGCGCGCTGAGCTCCCTCTGCTGGGGCTGCGGCGGCGGCGGCTGCGGCTGCTGGAACTTGAGCCCAGGAGACATCCTGGCTCCTGTTGCTGTGTGTGCGCAGCTGTGCGCGGCTGCTTTTCCCTCCACCCCCTGAGGTTTTATAAAGGATTCACAGAAGAAAGTACAAAACGTATACTGTGGGTTGGAATTTTTTTAATTTGTTGTAAAACGGGGAAAAGGAGCATTACAAATGTAGAAATACTACACATTTATAAGTAAGGGGTAGAAGTCAGTATCTGATACCCTGACCTTTAAATGGACGTTACCACTCGTGGAGACGCAGAAGGTAAGGTTTGCTGGGCAGTGTCTCTCCGGGGTGCTTGCGTCTGTACCCGGGAGTCTGTCGGGCCACGTACCCTCCCCGCCCCTGTTTTTCAGATCTTTCAAAGGCTCATTTATGCCGACAAGCAGGAAGTTCAAGGAGATGGTCCGTTTCTGGATGGAATCAACGTCACAATAAGGAGAAATTACATATATGAAGATGCGTATGACAAGCTCTCCCCAGAAAACGGTACCTGCCACTCCCTGCACGTGGGCACGGGGCGGGGGTGGGGCGGGGATGGGGCGGGGAGGCTGGGCAATTGTTTTAGAAAAGGCGATCGTTAAAAAACGAGTGCCCATCATCTGCTCCGTAATGACTCTCTGAAACAGCAGCGTCAGTCAGACGTGGGGCGTGTGCATCACCTAACAAGGCTCCTACAATTCACACATTATCGCAGCCCAAGCTTTTCCCATACTGGGCGCTTTCAGGGCGAGAAGCCCCGCCCCGCTCCCCCGGCCCTGGCCTGAGATTGCCCCTGCCGGCCCGCGCGTCCTCGGTGACCACGTTCCGACACCGATGCCGCGGGTCATCGCTGCCCAGGAGGCGCTGAGGCGCCCGCCGCCGGGCGCCTTCGCAGGGAGACGGCAGCGCGGTGGACGAAGGGGGCTCGTGGCTGCCGCCGCTGGGCCGCGCCCTGAGCCCGGCGGTGCGCTGGGTCATGGGGCAGCGTTCACGCCCGGGGCTAGAGGTCGGCCTGTGGCCGGCATAGCGGTCTTCCCGACTTCAGGACGCAAAGCCTGCGGCGCTGCGTGAAATCGACATTACGTCCGTGAGGGACGCGGGTCGCAGGGCGGGTCTCGTGGCCTCGGCCGTGCCCGTGTGGGGGCTGGGGGACCTCATTTCCTCGGACTGGCGTGGGGTCAGGGTGGCGCTACAGTGAGCTCCTGGCGCCCGCCTCCGTCGTGGGCAGCAGTGGCTGGGGCGGGGGGCTGGCCCAAGAGCCCCTGCGCCCCCCGCCTGCGCTTCTGAGTGTCCCGCTTTCAGGGCAGGCCTTCCCTTGCTGTGTCCTGCGGGGGAGGGGGAGGGGGACTGGGCGAGAGCAACGCCGTAGTCCTCGTGGGCACGCGCGGGCCGCCTCTGCCTTGCTCCCCACCAAGGGGGCCGAGGAGCCTGCCACCGGGGGCGGGCCCAGGCCCCCACACGTGAAGGTGGGGCTGCCGACGGGGACGCGGGAAAACAGCCCCTCGCACGTCCCCAAAGGCGCTGCAAACGAGACACCAGGAGAGGAGGCGAGTGGAACGGAGGGCACAGGGTACGCTGGAACAGAGTTACTACCGAGAAAGGGGAAAACGGGAAACGCATAAAGACACCACGAAACAGACGTCTCAAAGACCCCCCGAACGAGGCAAGTGCTACAGCAGGCTCAGAACCGCGGAACCGGCTCCCCCACCTGAAGTGGACACCCCGCTGGGAAGGGAACGTTGCTGGGTCGTGGAACGCGCCACGACGGTTGGGAGGCTCCCCGCACACAGGTCACCCTGTCTCCGGACGGGGGGCCGAGGGAGGGCGACGTGGTGACCGGCCAGCGGGGCTCGGGGACGGTCTCCCGGGCGACCGCCCTGCAGTGCGTGGGTTGGAGCACCGCAGGGTCCAAGGCAGACGCGGTGGGCGTTGCCCACCAGCGCCCTGGTCGCCCTCGGAGTCTCCTCTGGCAGCGACCTTGAGGCATGTCACTCGTGACAGACAAGTGGTCACAGCTCATCCCTAAGGGCTGGGCGGTAGGAGGTCGCACGGGAAGGTCAGAGAGCCCCAGCCACGGCTCACGTGGCCCTCAGATTGGCTGCTGCGGTGGCTTTTGGTGTTTTACCTGGAACTTGGGATCGCACCTATTTTGTAATTAAATCAGTCACACACTTGATGCAAATAACTGTCTGGAACCTGGTCATCAATGAAAAGCACGTTCTTCGTGCAAGCGCAGTTAGACTTCAACAGGAGGAGGTGTTTAGGCAGAGGAAAGCCCGCGTGTCGGCAGCGGGCGTGGCATTCACTGGGGCGCCCTGACAGGGCGGCCGTGGGCCCTCAGATCCGCCCCGCCGTCCTGGGTCTCCCGCTGCGGGTGGGGACGGCTCTGGCTCGGGGCAGATGCCCTGAGCGAGCTGCAGCTGCGTGGTTTGGGTTCCCGCCCCCGCGCCTCCCCGGCGGCACGTGCCCTTTAACACGGCACACCTGGAGCACCTGGTGTAGCCTCGGTCCCTGCTGGCGGGACAGGGCGACCCGCTCAGCGAGAGGCAGCCAGTCAGCGCTGCCGTCCGCGCGGCAGGCCGCGTGGACGCTCACTGCGGGGCATTCACACCAGGTTCTCTGGCCTGGGGGCGGGGGACAGGGCCACTGCCATGGGGCCACACCCGCTGGCTGCTCGACTGAGCCCACCCCCAGGAGCTGCAAGGCCTCCTGTGCCTGTGCTTGGGGCCGGGACGCTGACGCTGGGGGGAAGGCCGCTGTGTTCGTGGGGACACTGAGGCCCCCCCGCACGGCTCCATCCACGGGCAGGGAGCCTCCCAACCGTCGTGGCGCGTTCCACGGCCCAGCAACGTTCCCTTCCCAGCGGGGTGTCCACTTCAGGTGGGGGAGCCGGTTCCGCGGTTCTGAGCCTGCTGTAGCACTTGCCTCGTTCGGGGGGTCTTTGAGACGTCTGTTTCGTGGTGTCTTTATGCGTTTCCCGTTTTTCCCTCTTTCTGTAGTAACTCTGTTCCAGCGCACCCTGTGCCCTCCGTTCCACTCGCCTCCTCTCCTGGTGTCTCGTTTGCAGCGCCTTTGGGGACGTGCGAGGGGCTGTTTTCCCGCGTCCCCGTCGGCAGCCCCACCTTCACGTGTGGGGGCCCGGGCCGCGCCCTCGCTGGCCGCGGTTTATCCTCCAGCTGCGCTGGCTGGCGTCCATCCCCTGCCCTCGCCCCCTCTCCTCTGCTCACTGCAGTGCTTGCTTTTAATACCTCCCCCCTCCCAGAGCCGGACCTGAAGAAGCGCATCCGTGTCCACCTGCTCAACGCACACGGCCTGGACGAAGCCGGCATCGACGGCGGCGGCATCTTCCGGGAGTTTCTGAACGAGCTGCTGAAGTCGGGCTTCAACCCCAACCAGGGCTTCTTCAAGACCACAAACGAAGGGCTTCTGTACCCCAACCCCGCTGCTCAGATGCTTGTGGGAGACTCCTTTGCCAGACATTACTACTTCCTGGGCAGGATGCTTGGAAAGGTAAGGGCGGCGCGTGGGGGCGATCCCCGGCCACCGTGGCCTGTTGGGGCTGCTGGAGCGACGCGCCCAGACCGGGGCTCAGGAACCACGGACGTTCGCGGCTCACGGTCCCGGAGGCTGGGCGTCCGCGGCGAGGTCGCCCCACGGTGTCGTCTGCTGGGCCCGCTCCCTGGCCCGCAGCGGCCGCCCTGGCGTGGGGGTCCCGGGGGTGAGGCTCTGGGCTTCTCGCCCAGGCGCTCGTGTATCCTGTGGCTCCACCTGGGGGCCTCCCCTCCAGAAACCTGCATCCGGGGGTGAGGGCTCATTCCACGGGTTTCGGGGAACACGGACTCTCAGGCCTGAGCCCGCCTGTGGGAGCTCCGTGGGTGGGAGCGGCGGCCGGGCATCTGGCTGCTGCCCTGTGGGCCCGGCCCCGCCCAGGAAAAGCAGGCGGCTTTTGTTTTGCGTTGTAAGTGATGCCTGGCGTTTTCACGTGGATAAGCGATGTTACGTTTCTGGGTTATTTTGCTTTAGTTTGTTTGCTTCTTTTCACTTTAAATAAACTTAATGTCGATAATTGCTGATTTTGGCAAATGCCCCAGTAAAATCAGAAGTTCAAAGCTCTGCCTAAGCTTCTGTGAATGAGGCAGAAAACCATCCCGGTCAGTCCTGTGGGGGTGGAAAGCCGGGGGTTCTTGAGCTCCCTCCGGCCGAGCGAGCGGCCACCCTGGTCACCTGGCGGGGTCTGCGAGCGCCTGCGGGGGGCGGGGGGCGCACGGAGGTCGGGGCCTGGGCCCCGCTGACCGCCCTCCTCCCCTGCGCCCCCACGGCCCCCACGGCCCCCAGCAGCGGCCCCTGCGGGCGCCCGGCCGGCTCAGAGGACGCCGTCCTCGGACGTTTCCGTCGGCGAGGGGCGCGGTAGCTTACGTGGGCCCGGGAGACAGCACCACGCAGTGTCTGTGGCGCACGCACTGGTAGGGTTGCTGTTGAGCAGCGTTCGCGTCCCGTGTTGCCCGGGGTCCTGGGCGTGTCGTCATACCTTGCAGAGAGGCGGGCGTTCTCCGCGGTGTGTTAGGGACCTTCGTTCGGGGTTATGGATGGCCTGGGAGTGCTTTTCTGTTCCCCTACTTGAAAAGGTGGAGTAGGAACGCCTGACGTCCTGTATTCCCTGTCTGCCCGCTGAACGGTCGGGTGGGTGGAGCGAGGGCTGTGGCCCGCGCGGCCTCTGCAAGCGCAAGGCGGGACGTGCGGGGCCCGAGGGCAGCTGCTGACCCCAGCCGCCGCCGCGGCGCCCGCCGGCTTCCTTCCGCAAAGGCTGTGCTGGAACCTAGCTGGGCCTGATCAGCGCCGAGCGCCCGTGGCTGCTTCCCCGCATGGCAGCAGCGAGCCGCGCGCCCCTCCCACATCCTTGGGCACTCGAGCTCCGTGGTGAGGGGTTGAGTCTTCGTGCCTCAGGCCCTGGCGGAGGTGACAGACTCACCACGGCTCGATGGAGACCGGGACTGCCGAGGTGGCGGGCGGGGGCCCAGGCCCTCGGTGGTGGCGGTGGCCATGGTGTGTGGCCAGGCCGAGGGAAGACTGGACAGTGAACGCGGGGCTGGGCTGCCAGGGGTCTGGATTCGGGTGATTTTCTTAGGACAGCTTTATGGGGACATAATCCACGGGTCACGCAGCTCGCCTGTGGCAGGTGGGTTTCGTACCCGCAGGGGACAGCCACGTGCTAACGTGGGATGTTTCCGCCGCCCAGACGTGTTAGGCTGCCCCCCAGCCCTGCCCAAACCCCCAGCGGGCGCCCGCCGCCATCTGCTGGCACTCGGTTCCAGTGCCTGTGACGCAGACCCGCACTGTCCCCCTTGCAGCTGGCGTGGGGTGGGCAGGTGCCCGTCTGAGGAGCAGCCAGGTTAAAAACCAGTGCCTACCAAGCAGATCACGCTCCTCGTGACGTTTTAGAATAAGGGCTGTTTTGAAATATAACTGACATTTCATAAAATTCAGCCTTTCAAGTGGACGATCCAGAGCGACCATCCCCACTCTAATTTCGGAGCCGTTCTGCCGCCCTGCGGACCCACGGGCTCTGCCCGGGCAGCCGGCGTAACGGGGGCCCGCAGCACGCGGTCTCCGCGGCGGGGCTCCCCCCGCCCGCCTGCTGGGGTCACGCTCCGCGCCTGTCATCGGCGGGTCAGGGCTTCGCGTGGACGAGCAGTGTGTCCTGGTGTGTCCGCTCCCGCCCGTTTGCTGCTGCGGACCTGCGGACGTTCACAGGCCAGTTTCTGTGGGGACGTGGGTTTCTGGAAGCTCACGCGCCTTGGAGAGGAGCCGCTGGGTCCGTGGGGGCCGGGGCCCCGGCCTGCGCCTCCAGACCGGCAGGGGAGGGCCCCCCCCACCCACGCCCCCACCCGCGCCCCCGCCACCGCTGCGCACGTCCGGTGTTTCGCTTTAAGCCCTTCACGTGTTCTCGTTTTGAGTCCCTTAGCGGAGGTACATGCCCTGCAAATGCTTTCATTTTGTGGGTTGTCTTTCACTTTCTTAATGGTGTCCTTTGGAGCCCCAAATTTTTAAATTTGGTGACTTCTGTATTTTTTTGGTGTGGCCTGTGCTTTTGGCGTCTTACCTAAGAACCATCGCCTAAGCCACGGCCACAGGTACTCACAGTGGCACGTTCTGTTCTTCTAAGCGCTTGGTCAGTTTAGCTCGTACACTCGGGCCTGTGATCCAGTCCGAGGTGGTTTCTGTAGGTGCTGCGAGGTGGGGTCTTCTGCCTGGGGGCTCCCGCGCGTCCCGGCACCCTGCTGAGGACCCACTGATCGTAAACGTGAGGGCGACTTTCCGAACCCTCCGCGCTGTGCCCGGGGGCCCTGGGCCTGACCGCAGCGTGGCTCTGCTCTGGCCGCGGTCGGGTCTGCGTGCGGTGACAGGTGGCCGCAGGGGCAGGGCACAGGGAGCGGCCGGCCCCGGGAGGAGCACTGCACCCTCACCGGTGCCGCGCAGGCCTGGCAGCTGCCCCCGGCGGACCCCGGACGGCGCTGCTGTGCGGACGGACGCGCCACGTGGTCTGCAGCTTCGGGGCGGCCCCAGCCTGTCCTCTCCACTGTCCCTCGGGCCGACCTCCCCTCACCTCACGCTTTCGGGGCCAGATCTCCGACCCTGGCCTCGTGCTAGGTCCCCGGCGGGAGTGTCTGGCAGGCCCCATCTCCCTGTGATCATTGGAAGATGGCGTCTCGCCCCCCTCGGCCCCCCACGGCGCGCCTCCGTCGGCCTCCGAGGAGCGTGTTCCTGACGCACCGCGTGGAAACCCGACACTGGATGTGCCGTGGTTCTTCCCGTTCGGGCGAGCCCAAGGGCCTGCTAACCCAGCAGTCACACAGACGCGTTGAAAATGGCAGGGAAGGCGAGGCTGGGTTCTGCTAGGCTGACCCAAAAGCACCCGCTCAGGCCCCCCGAGGGCAGAGACGGGCCACGGGGGGCGTCGTCCCAGGGGCCGGAGTTCAGGGTGGTGAAAGCGGCGTGTTGTTTTCCTTCCGGAACGTGTACGCTGTCCAGTCCTGGCTGCTGCCGAGACAGAGTTGGGGGGCCCGGGCCCGCGGAAGCCCAGGGCAGCGGCTGGTCACGTGGAGTGGCGAGGAGTGGGGCCCCCCGTGGGCTGGCGGGCGGCTCGTGGCTGTGGCGGGGCTGAAGGCGCCGTTTTGGGCGGACGGGGGTGCCTCCCCCCTGGTTGGTGTGTATATCCCTTTAACCAGGTTCCGGGCAGGTGTCCTGGGGGTCTAGTTCGTGTGAGTTCTACCCCAGTGGAACTATTAGAAATGATGATGTTAGGTGAAACCTGTAACAAAACTACCGTCACTTGAGGGTGACCGTTAACCTGTGGTGATTCTACAGAGTGAAGACCTACATAACTTTCTGCAAAGAAATTCCTAAGGGAGCACTAGCCCCGGACACGTCTCCGATGTCCGAGTGACCACGGACGCCCACGCCCGGTGCCAGCGCGTCGGTGGCCAGGCCTGCGGGGGCCTGGCGGGCGGCACGGACAGCGTGGGGCCCGCGCCCAGAGCGGGGCGGGGGGGGGGGGCTGTGTGGTGCGGGGTTGTGGTGTTTATTGGGTCGTAATGTATTTAAATCCCCCTAATGCACATGCCAGTGATTGTCGGCCGTGAGAGCGGGCCGTGCGGCCCGAGCGGGCCTGCCGGGGAGAGGCCGCCGCGCCCGTCGCTCCCCAGCGAGGGATTCCATTAGCAGAAGGTCCCCGCGGCCGGCGCGGCACTTAGTGCCTGTAAATCAGCCGCGCCGGGGCCAGTAAACAGCCCAAGGATGCAGCAATGTCGTCTACAGCTTTTTACAGACAGAGCACCTAGGCCCATTCAAGCCAATTAAGTGCGGAATATTTATTGAAGGAGATCTTTTATCATATTGGAATTCTACTTGAAAATGGCTCCTTTTTTTCTTGCTTTAGAATATTGATTTAATTGGAACAGAACACCTATAAATCAGATTGTTTGTTAAAATCGTGGTCATATATTTCAAATTTTTAATTAGATTGTGAAACGGCTGTGCAGTTTATAATTTTCTGTTTTGGTGGGATCCAGGGTGCCCTTAATGTGCCCTAGGGCGCAGCTGGAGGTGCGTCCTGAGGTTGTTGAGTTGGGAACATCTGTTCTTCGGTGTCACTGGAGTCCGTTACAAAGTGCTCCCCGATCTGCTGGCGCTTCGAAGCCACAGAGCGAGGCGAACGTCAGTGGTTTCAGTGGCCTTGGTCCTCGAGGGGCAGAGCTCCGCTCGCGCAGCCTGGCTCTGAGCGCGGGCTCATGGGTGGGAGATGGGCGTCCTCCCCGCTGCTGCCCGGCTGGTGCGGCGGCCTGTGCGGCCGGCACACCTCCCCCGAGGTCCCTGAGGAGGACAGCCGCTCAGACCTGCGCCAGCAGGTGCCCCCCGCGTGCGCTGAGCCCCCGACTGTGGGCGAGACCTTGTGAGCGCGCCCTTCCTGACCGTCCACGTTTCTGTAAGCAGGAAAGCCAAAGGTCGTTATT